TTTGTAGAAGAAATAGTTCAATCAACCATCTATATTACAAGACAGTACAAGGTAGTTGCAAGGCATAGTATTAGCTGCATGTTAAGATTTTAAAATCTAACTAAAAACTTGTAATTTATTTATTATTTTCGCTTATAATTCCAAAATTTAATTAGTTAATACTATTAAGCATTTATAAATGCCCTGTAAATACTCTATAAATACTTTCTAACTTTACCCTTCATAATAGGTATATATAAGTAATTTAAGTGATTTTAGTTTATAAATTAGCGAAATAAAAAGAAGGTAAGTGTAAACTATTATTAATTCTTGCTTCCTTTAAAATCAGACAGTTTCAACTAATCAAATAGCGTAAATATACTATTCTACCTTGCAAACTCCTTGTAATCCTCCTATTAGAAAATATAAGGCTTGAACCGCGCTAATAATCAAACAAAGAGTCTATACTAAATACACTTCAACCTGCACATGATACTTGCATTTTTCATTTTGCATTTTGCAGTTTGCAATTCGCAATTCGCAGTTCAAGCTCACGTACCTAGTTCACAAACTCGCAGTCGCAGCTCACTGAGTGGTCAAAACATCGGTCCGATTAAACCGCACCTGAACCGCACCTAACCCGCAGCTAAACGCATCCCCATTGAGCACGGAAAGTTGTTCGGTACCTGCTGCGAATTTGGGTTTTGCCATTCAAACCAAACGCTTGGATCCGAACCCAGCACTAACCGACGACGTTGAGCGGCTGGAATTCGACGAAGGGTTCCACCAATAGCGTCCAAAAATGGGGTCCGACAGCGGGCCGGTGGTTCAAGTTGTGCAGGGTAGATATATATACGCCTAACATGTGCATGTGCATGGGGCACTCAGGGCTTTGACTTTTGGGGTCTGGGCTTGGGTTGTTGAGAGTTGACATTTGACAATGACCTGTTTTGGTCGGATGGTCGGGCCGTCGCGCCGGGCAACGAAAAGGGGGACGTCGAGGCACTTGCGGGTTTTGCGAATTGCGGAGAAGTAGGCGAGAGACGAGGTTGAAAAGGAGAAAGGAGGTTAATGGATGGGCAAGCTGGGTTCTTGATGCTAGAATACCTAATTTTGTGATGACTGATCAGGGCATAGGGGAATTGAAGATTCCAAGATATGTCGTCGACATTGACTCTTCGTGATCTTCAACGCCGTCGCAGCGGTGGTACCTGAAGTAAGTAGTTGCATGCCGATCATGCTTGGTCTCATTAAACTTCCAAAGGTTCATCTTCAACGAGAAAGGCCAGAACGAAAGAAAAAATGCGAAGAAAAAAAGAAACGATGACTGGTGTCGACAAGCGGAGCGACACCCGAAATTCGGAACCTGCACCCCACGAACCGAACCTGTGTGTTCCCCAGGACCCCACACATACCCATGTGAACGACAAAAGTGTGGAGTAAAAGCCCGAAGCTATTCCCCAAACCACCAAGTGCGGGCGTGCTAGTGTTGCGCGCTAGAAGATTTAATCCCATGTAAGACTGCTGGACCGAGAGCCGAACTGAACTCTGTGCTTTAATTTGTCACATGGCTCTTCCTTTTGTCTTTTTGACATCTGGGTTCGGTTCGTTGTTGTAGGCTTGCCGGGTCCTGATGATGATGATGATGATGACGACTGATGATGATGATGATGATGATGATGATGATGATGATGATGATGATGATGATGATGATGATGATGATGATGGCGATGATGACAATAAAACTTGCGGAGGCTCCGGGAAACGACTGGATTTGTAGGAGCTGGCGAGTTTCGAAGAAAGGTCGTGTTTACATCATGTCAACCACTGAAGACAAAGTCGTAGGTAAGTTAGGCATGGGAATAATGAAGACATTACAATTTCATTAACATATCCTTTTGCTCGCTTGCTTGCTTTCTTGCTTGCTAAATCCAACAACAACCGCTGCAGACAAACAACAAAAACATGACGCTCGTGCTCATTAAAAACATTTCGTACACACATGCCTCCTCCTCCTATAGGAAGGGGCGCCCTAAGATTCGTTTCGAGACCCGGAAAAAGGGTATCACAATGTTGTGGCCGTGTGGAAATACACGACCGGGTATGATGATTTTTGGAAGGAGTGTATCGACTCTTTCGTCGCCTGTTTTTTAAGCAACGACAGCCTCAGACACGTGGCCGTCGGCCTGGACGACGACCTTCTCGACCTTGAGGGAGGCCTTGACGGGGTTGGGCTGGTCGTAGACCCATTCGAGCTGCTCGAGAGTGCGGCCTTGGGACTCGACACTGTAACACAGAATGTTAGCAATCTGTTTGCTATTACAAAGTAAAGGGAGAGCGAAAGACTAAGAACATACCCAAAGAGATACCAAGCGACGGTCTCGACAAGATCCCAGCCGACAAAGACAAAGATGTACTTGTAGCCGATGTTGTCGAGAGCGATGGGGCCGGCGAACTGGTTGATGAAGCCCATGGCGTTGACGATGAAGCCGGAAAGGGCAAGACCCTTGCCGCGGATGGTGGTCTCGAGAGCCTCGGTGGGGATGACACCCTGGAGGGGAGTGTAGGTGAAGGAGAAGATGACGTTGAAGAGGAAGTAAGCGGCCAGGGCTCCCTTGGCGTAGTTGCTGTCGACGTGGAGGTAGGCGTTGTCCTTGGCATCCTTCTCGTCCATGCCCTCGGCCAGGTTGAGCTGCGTACCCCTCTGGGTCTGCTTGTCAAGGGTAGCAGAGAGACCGGAGTTGGTGGCAAGAGCGACGGCGCACAAGAAGGTACCGACGATGAGCACCTTGCGGCGGGGCATGCGATCGGTCATGGAGACGGCGCTCAGGGCACCGATGGCGGAGATGACCGAGTTGAGAATGTTGTAGGCGAGCTGCTTGGAAGTGCTGGTGACACCAATGTTCTTGAAGATGGTGGTGTTGAAGTAGCCGAGACCGTTGCCGGAGAACTGACCAAAGATGGAGATCATGAGCACCTGAGCCATACGCCAGCGGCCGTTGTGGGTCATGAAGAGCGGGCGGTAGTCCCACCAGACCTTGTCGACACCGTCGGTCTTGATGCCGTCCCTCATCTCCTCGGTCTCGAGCAAGACAAGCTTGGAGTTGGGGTCACCGTTGCCGTGGTACTTGACAAGGAAGGCGATAGCCTCAGCCTCGCGGTTGTTGGCAAAGAGGAAACGGGGAGACTCGGGGAGGAAGAAGACGGAGCCCATGACGATCAGGCAGGTGAAAGCCTGGAGGATCAAGGGGATACGCCACGACCAGTCGCTCTTGATGAAGTAGCAGCCATAGGTGACACAGGCGGCGGGAATGGAACCTCCGAACCAACCGCAGTTGTAGAAACCAGTGCAACGGCCACGCCAGTGAGGAGGGGCGATTTCGATCGAGTAGGCAGGGGCAGCGACGGTCATGATGGCGATACCGAGACCGAGGATAAAGCGGCCAACGACGAACTGAGCGAGCTTGGATGCGGTAGCAACGATGACGGCGCCGATGATAATGACGACACCACCACAGAACATGCCCTTCTTACGGCCATAACGATCGGAGAGGATAGCAGCGAAGGGAGCACCAACCATGGCACCACTGGAAGGCCGGAAGCGTTAGAAGAGCCCAAGACCAAAGGGAGTAAATGACCATGACTTACACAGTGTACAGAGAGAAGATAACAGAGACTTTCGGGCCAGTGTCACCGGTGTGGAACATGGCCTGGAACTTGGGCATGGCAATGATACCGGTCATGAGCGAGCCATCGTAACCGTTGGCGCAGGCACAGCAGAAGGCGACGAAGATGGCGAAGTAGAGGTGGATGGACTCCTTGCTCCAGGGGTGGATGTTGGACTCCTTGATGGCAGCGAAGAGGGCGGCGTTGCGGACCTCCTTCTCCTGGGCACCGGGATGGGCTGCGGTCTCGCCATGGCCCTTGGGCACGACGGTGTCGAGGGTGGGCTTAATGTCATGAGTAGCAAGGTGCTTCTCAGTGCTGGCCCCGTCGTGGGAGCCGTGGGACGACATGTTGGGCGTCTGTAGGTAGCTATATCGACGATGGTACTGGTGTTGATGTTGAAGTGCTGGGTCCTTCTTCCTATGTCGTATGGAAGTTGATGGGGGTTATTGAGGACGGTCAGCAGTGGACCATGGCAACTCTTACACCGCAGGATGAACAGAAGAATGGACTGGCTGAGGAGCAAGAGAGGAAGGGTGTTGAAACGAGCGGCTGTAGCATCCTTTATCAACTTTCTCGAGGATGGAGTGAGATAGTACGGACTCGGACTGGTGTGAAAGTTGCCCCCTCATCTCCATGTTCCCCAGAAGGCCACCCCAGGTCACCCCCAGACGGCTGGGTACGAAGAAAGTACGGAAGCGCGCCGCGCTGCCATGCGAGCCATGGAGCCATGGTAAGATCATGACAGCAAAAGATTGTGGAGGGATCTAAAAATCTGGAACCCGTCCCTGTCTCTCTGTGATGCTGCGTCGCTGAAGTGAGCTCCCAGGGGTCCATGTCCCAAAGCAACATCAGACTTTCATGAGATGGCCAAGCTTCTTGCACAGTACAACCGTTGTACCGTTGCAGTCAGCAACAAGGGAACAAGAGCCTTTGGAGGTGTGGCCAAGACTTTGTACCTGACCCCTTTTCTCACTGTGTAGCGGTGCTTGGCCCCGTTGGCGGCTGTTGGAGCTATTCCTATCCTGGCCCGGAGTCGTCCCCTCCGAGGTGCCCAAAACGGAAGCAAGGAGCAAGGCGCGCCATTGGGCAATGCTTGATCAGATATTCCCCGATTTTTGAATGGGATGTCATCTTCATGGCCTCGAACGCACGAGATGAGCTCGTCAGACCGTCACTGCATATCTTGCCCATCCCATTAGACCCATTTGCCTTCCCAAGGTTGGAAGATCAACGGCGGCGACAGCGGGGAAATGTGCGCGAGATGCGTTGAAGGATTCATTGGGGCATAGGGCCGACCCCATGCTCGATGTTTGTTGGTCGGGCTGGCGGAACGATGGGCAGTCTGTTCCTAACGAGAGCGATGTGGTGATGGAGGATTCCTGGAGATTTCCGATGTCGTTGCTCATGTGTCGTCGCGTCAAGCTGGCCGGACGTCGGCCCTCAATTCCATCGAGCTAGCGGGCACATGCCGGGGTCTGGCACGCGTCCTTTAACAGCGCTAGGTCCAAGAGGGAATGGCTGGCACCGTTTAGCGCTGCTTTTGGGGGCTGTCTCGCTAACAATTTCACCACTAACACACGGCCACTAACATTTGCCAACCTCACCTGAACCACACCTCCACGGACAGGACTCCAATATCAACACCATCCATCCACATGTACCTCCATGGCTGTCCTATTTTGAAATACAATCGGCTCGGTTGCTTGTTTCTGGCTTGGGTACATGGAAGCCTGGATGCCGCAAAGGCCTTGCTGCAGGGAATATGCTGTCGTATTGAGTAACCGTAGCCGTAGCACGAAGTACCGAGGATTTGGTAAAAACTCGGCCATGATCGGCTTCGTTCATGCCCATCATAGGGCATGTGGAATCATGGCCCGTACCTGTCACCTCCAGCTTTCTTACTCCAGTCCAGTCCAAGTGGAATCCATCGCCAGCCAAGTGGCAGAGCGGCTCCATTATCAGAAACATCCATGTCCAGGTTGTCTAGAACCTTTCCCACTTCGGCCTTCAACATGAACATAAGGTTCTTGTGCTCCAGCATCATCGCCAGTTCACCATTGCTTTGCTGCGCTGCCACGCGACTGGATTTTGAGCTGCAGGTAGTCGTTGAGAGGATGCAGCCTCTCTCTCGCTTCTTCATCGATGATGCCCAAACTATTGCCATCTCTGACATCAGGCCACACCTAGTTTTCCTTCCTCCTTGCGGACCGCCAGCCGCAATTCCTTCTTACACGCACTTAATAGACGCCGTTGGCCTGGCTGGCAGCCTGGCAACCCAAAATTAACGGAGATGATACCCCAAAGTTCCAAAACATACCCACGTCGCCACCAGCTAGACAAATAAGCGTGACCCAACGAGGGAGGGCTGGATGAGGCAAGACCTACTGCGGTACGTATGCTTGTTGCGGTATCGGGTATCGCCTCTCTAGCGTGCCCCAGACCCAGACGATGAAGGACTGAGACCTACCGCAGTACGAAGACTGGGGAAATTGGGGGGTAGCATTGCAGGAGACAGAACCGACGAGAGCGGCTCCAGTTCCGTTTGGTCTCTGGTCTGGTCCGTCCCAAAGACAAAAAACTCCAACGGCATCTCCTCCGAGGGAATGGGGCGTTGGAGCCGCCCCAACTGATCTGGGCTGCCCCTTTTTTAAGCTTCGCTGCAGTCAGGATTTGTCTTCCATCGTGACCATGGATCTTGGCAAGCGCCGCGGCTTCTGGACCCTTGAGGTGGTTTTTCTCTGTCGTGGTGCTGTGTTTGCCTCCGATGAAGTCCATGCCACATCAATCGGTTGGTTGATGTGCTGCTGGAAGCGAGTTCCGCCAACTCGGGCCATGCTTCTTCGCCGCTAGGATCGAGAGAGGAACGTACAGGCGACCCGGGACGGCTGACGATGTTTAGTTGTTGCTTTCTGTTTTTGTTTGCTGTCTCTTTTGGAGTTATTCAACACGAAGAGGTATGTGGACCGGGTAGTTTGGCAGCTGGAGCCGGTCTCCGTGACTGTAAACTGCGTTGACTTTCCAAAATTCTCAGCTAAATGTCGGTCCATCATCCGCAACCAAAGCCTCGGGCTCCCTCGGTCATGTCAACTGCGGTGAGCTAGGCGCGAAAGTCTCAGTCATGGTGGACCAGCCTTTTTCGTTTGAAGCCTAGGGATTGGAGCCACTACTGCAGGACAAAGGAGGAAAGAACGAGACACTCAACGGTTCTCGGCCCCGGAGTTGAAGGAACGGAGTACGCCCCGGGTAGGCTAGCTCGGTTGCCATCGCATTTGGATCCTAGGCAATTACAGAACCCAGTCCTGTGTTGCTCCTCCAAGTGACTGACCTGATTGATTCTCCATAGATGTATAAACCGCCACACACGAAAAAAGCAACGCACAAAGCAAAACCCTCCCTCTTCAATGCACTCGCACAGTCAATGACACTGGTACCAGCCTCTCAATAAGAACGTCCTAATCTTCGCATTCTGTCCACATCTGATTTCCCGCCAACAGGAATTATTCCAGCCAAGTCAAAGACACTGGTCTTCAACTCTTTCCCTTTCCTTCCCATACCCAAGTCTTGCTCATAAGTGAGTTAACTACTCATCACGGTAGCCATCAAGAATCCAACTCCCACAACCAGAACTACTGGATTCTTCATCCTCCCCAATTTCATTCTCCTCAATTTCATTCTCATCTTCCTCTTCCTCATCTTTCACTTCGTCGTCTTCCTCTTCGCCGTCTTCCTCACCATCATTTGCCCTTTCGTCATCTTTCTCTTCCTCATCTTTCACTTCGTCGTCTTCTTCATCGTCCTCCTCCCCCTCACTCGCGCCGCCGACCTCAATCTCACCTTCGCAAATCAAGATCCCTCCGGTACTTGTGAGCATATCCTTGCGCTCGCTTTCCTGCTCTTCCGCAGTATCCGTGTTGTTATTGGCGCCCTTTTCATAAAACCCATCCAACTTCAAAAAGGTAATCCTGCTTTCGCCTCCACTCCATAGCGCAATCTCCAGATGGTCTTCCCTGTCCGTTTGGGGCTTGATCCTTGCTATCAGCGCTTTCCGTTTCTTGAACTCAACCCATCCCAAGCAGCAATCGACTTGATCGTCGCCGAGAGACAGAAGAGTCAATTTCTCCCCACTAACAACCGCTACCGTAACTGCGTTGGCACTAGTAGTCCCTTCTCGAGTTGATGGCATGGGGGACGGAGCGATATCAATGGAGTCGACAGGATAACCGTATACCCCTCGCCAGACAGGTACCCAAAAGCCTTCCTTTGACTCGATGAGTGATGAAGTGGAAAGAGACCAGATATCCCCATCCTTTGACCCCAAGATGACGCGGTGTCCATCAGGTGCAATAGCTATAACGCGAGCGGGGACAGGATGCGCCACCCTACGGGTAAATCGCCCATTTGAGAGCGATGTAAAGGTTGTATAGTTCCTATGGGACACGACTATTGCGAGGCCATCATGGGCATAGCAAGCGTTAACAATCGGTTCTTCTCGGGAGTCAATCGTGGCTTGGTACGGGAGGGGATTGGCAGGATTTGGAAGAAGAGAGAGATCAAGGGTAGCGAAGGTGCAGGGGGAGGCGGAAAGAAGTGTAGAACCGGTAGGGTGGAAGTTGAGGATTGTTTGGGGCTGTTGAAATTGCGCCAATTCCCCATCGGACCCCGGTGGAATAATGAGTGCCTCAGAAATGGGGTAGGAGATGGAAGGCCCAGTGTTTCTCCTCTTTGAAAGGTCGAATATCTTGATGGCATGGGACTCTGCGTCGTATACTGCCAGCCGCTTACCGCAGGATGAAATAGCCGAAGCGTGGTATGCGGCATGCCGGTCGTTTTTGTAGATCCAGCTGCCAATGAATCCGGACGAACTTGTTCGAATGGTAATGGCGTGGGGGTCTATCATTACCAGCTTACTTCCGTCAGGTGTGTAATGCATCAAAGGAGGTAGGATTTTGTTGTGATAGAGTGTCGCTTGTGGAACTGCCTTCAGTTCCTTTGCTTCCCAGCAGTTGGCCGGTTCAATCCATTCTGCAATGGCGTCTTGCCTTGGGTCAAGAGGAAGCACTGGGCGCATCAATGGGTCTGGGTGCATCAATGTCGCAATGAATCTTTTGCCAAATGCTGAAACCATTGCTTGATCCAACTTCTTGGTTGGAAACGAGATTATTCCGGCCTTATAGTCAAATAGCTTCTGAAAATCCAGGCCAAATGTTGGACTTCCGGTCAGCATGTGAGCAGCAAGCTCTCCTGCTGCCCAAACGTCGAGTGCTTTTATACCATTCAGTCCATCAAAGGTTGAAGATTTCCTCAGAGTATAACCCCCTACCACCTCTGGGGATAGGAAGGAAAGGTCTGAATGGGCAACAGTGTTAATGAAATCTTCGGGACTGCCGTTGCTGATGGGGACCGTCGGGTAATGAAGTCTGTATCCCCCAATTTTGACACGCCACTCTGTGTTTTTCTCGGGAAGATGGACGATAGTGACATGCTAGCACGAGCAGCGAGACGTTAGTGATACTCCTACACTGCATCTCCTTTTGGGGACGATGTCTCGGGATTCACCTACACGCAATTGCAAATCACCATGGGCTAGACCTCTCATATGTAGGAGCCCTAGACCATTGCATATTTGACGCATGATTTTTCTTGCTTCACCTTCTCGTATGAACCCATTGGCCATGATGAAAGACTGAAGATCTCCCAAAGGGAAATCCTCGGTCATGAGGTGCAGCGTTGGAACACCACTGTGCTCTTGGTGGTTATCAGTTTGGGTAACCTGCAGGTACTGAACGAAATGGTATGTAAACTAAAAAGCAAGCCAAACATGATGTGGTTAGCCATCGTTCGAATATCGCAAATGTTGGATCAGACTGGATTCGGATCTCATTTACAGACCTGGGGCTTTTGGATAGCAAGGACCTGCTTATTCGCATAGACAAGAGCCTCCAGGCTTCTCGGTTTGAATTCTCGGACGATCCGAATAGCTCCACGAGCAACTCCTTGTGCTACTAGACACTTTTCTCGGAGTCTTGCCTCAAAGGTGAGAGGCTTCTGCAGTGGAATTGCTTCCCATAGCTCAACCGCACCCGACTCATATTCGTAGTGTCTGCAATGAAAAGCTCGAACAGAACTAAGCCGTGGATAGTCTCCAAAGTAATGAGTGGATTGCGGAGGCGTTCGAGATCCGGAAATTGATTCTGCCATTGTGATGGTTAATGCCAGTGCGCTAAGATGCGTGGAGAAAGTTCAATACCTTTATAGTATCCCTCACTCTTATAGACAGAGGAGAGGAGCATCTGGCTCGCTTCAATGCCGAGGTTCTCAGCCTCATCATGAGAGGCACATATGGTTGTGCTTCATGGTGCCTGCTGCAAGCATGTTCGAAGGTTGGTTGTCAATTGTCATCTCATGAACAAGAACGAAGGGCACAACTCGTGAAAAAAAAAAAAATTGTCCGTCGAACATGAGTGAAAAGGTACCTCGATGTTCATGCGCCAGACATCTGTGAAGACGCAAGGTTCGTCATGAGGGTAGCCGCAAACGACAAACGGTATGAATTGTCAAAGGACAAACCACAACTTTTCGATCTTGCGTCTGGCATTTGGCTTGGGTCTGTCCAGAATCTCAATGCGGCGCTTTGAGGTCTTCGTTTGCTCGGTTGATGTCGACAAGTCTCGACGTGGAATTTGGACAAGACCGCAGAACTTCATTTTCTCAGCTTCAGGTTTCCGCTGCAAAGCAGTGATTACAAAGCGCAGCGCCGTGCTTGGGCCAATCCTTAACAATTTCTATAGCGGGGCGGCCTGGACGTGATTCTTGGTCGCTCTTGCATTCTCCGAGATGCACTTGGCTCACTTGGGAATTCAACTGAGGAAATCGCAACTCACTCACTCCTTCCCGCCTCCTCTCAACATCACAACCAGCACAAAACCACAAACGAACAAAAGCGCATCCAGTCACGTCAACTGACGGCGGAAAATGGTGACGCCGATTCCAGTCCAGATCCTTGATGGAGGGCTGGGGACCACTCTGGAAGATTTACATGGCATCACCTTCTCGTTCGAAACTCCGCTCTGGTCATCACATCTCCTAGTTTCCGGCGAGGAAGACAAGCTGTTGGACTGTCACGAGGCATTCCAAAAGGCAGGAGCAAACATCATTTCCACCGCCACTTACCAAACATCAATCAATGGGTTTGCTGCAACCAAGGCGCCGAAAAGTGGAGCCCCCGACGGCATTGGGAAGGAAGGAATCCCTCATTTCCTGAACCGTGCAGTCGTTCTTGCTGCAAATGCAGCGGGGAAGGAGGGAAAGGTTGCCTTGGCTCTCGGTCCTTATGGCGCCACCATGATTCCATCGACCGAATACAGTGGGAAGTACGATCCTGGACACCAAGATGCGCGGGCCTTGGAGGAATGGCACAAGAAGCGTCTGGATCTGTTCAAGGACGTTAACACCAACCAAGTCAACTACATTGCCTTTGAGACGGTTCCCAGACTCGACGAGATTGTTGCCATCAGAAACCTGCTCTCCACTGACAAGATCCCAACATCCCTCCGCGGACGCCCCGTGTGGATTTCCTCACTCTATCCAAACGATGACGAAAAGCTCCCAGACGGCAGCACGGTAGAGGAGGTCGTCAGAGCCGCTCTTACGCGCAGGGAAGGCTTGGAGACTCCCTGGGGAATTGGCATCAACTGCACAAAGGTGGAAAAGCTCGACTCCTTGGTCAGGCGATACGAAGCTGCCCTACAGTCCTGCATCGACAACGGGGAACCGATGGACTGGCCAAGCTTGGTCCTTTATCCAGACGGGACAAACGGAGAGGTCTACAACACGATCAACAAGACTTGGGAATTGCCTCCAGGACAGAAACAGCCAGAGGTACCTTGTGATCCACCACTCCTTGCCTCTTCGCGTGCAGACAAGTCCTTTGATTCATGCACTGACACCCATTGCTTCAAACAGGCCCCCTGGGAAGTGATCCTCACCAACGTTGTCGGAGCCGCACGTCAAAGAGGAAAATGGAAGTCCATCATCGTAGGAGGCTGCTGCAAGACGTCCCCCGAGCTCATTCGGAAGTTGCAGAAGACTCTACAAGATCGCGGCTACATGTCAACATCTCCAGCAGCGTAGTACTCAAGCACTTCTGCACAGCAAGAAAAAGGCTGCTAGAATCTCGAATGACAACCTCTAATATTACTATTACAAGACGGTATCCAAATGTGATGGTTTCTCCCAGCCCATCATTTCTGGTAAAGGCACTCATTCCCACCATAGAACATGGCCACATCAAAGTTATAAGACCCAGGCCTCACATAATCCTCGCGCATGATGCTCCACGCACCGACTGGCGAGCTAACCCCGCTGTTGAACAAGGAATACTTCCTCATCACACCGTCAGCCCAAGGGGCCGACACCTCGCACTTCAACACCGACCCAGACGTGTAGACCCCATCAGGATTTGAGCAGACCACTGGATAATCCACCGGCATGTTCGTGAACCGGAGAGGGCGAAGGTTTTGGTTGTTGAATGGTGGGGGCGCGTAGACCTCATAGCCGGCATATAGACTGATGTATGGACCGCCGCTGACGGTCAGCTTGCCAGTGGAGATGTCAAGGTCGAAGAAGCCATAGTTGGGGCCCTCCGGGGACTCGGTAAGCATGTTGGAGCTGGGGGAGACCTGACGAATGTGGTAGTCCCTGTTGGGCACATCAGGAGTGACGACTTTCAGGCAGAAGCCCGTGACTGTGGGAGCAGGGATGGGAGCGCTCGAGGTCGTGCTCTCGACGGATGTGGTGGTAGGCTCCTCAGTCGTGGTAGGCGCCTCAGTGGTAGTAAGAGGCTGGGTGGTGGTAGGCGGTTCGCTCGTCGTGGCCGGCTCGCTTGTGACAGGCTCTGTGGTCGATGGCTCTACGGTCGATGGCTCTACGGTCGATGACTCAGTTGTCGTAGGCTCATCTGACGCGGTGGTTGTCGTGCTCTCGATGATGCTGACAGCGCTGGAGGTAGGGTCCGCAGAGCTCGTTGGGCTGCTAACGACCGCCGACGTCAATGTCGATGTTTCCAAAGACGACGTTGTCGTTGTACGTGGGCGGCATCGACTAGCCATAGTCATGGCCGCAAGGGCAGGCAAAAGTGCAAATGAGGCACGCATGATTGATGATCGTGACAGAATTCGATTAAAGAATGGACGCGGAGGAATGCGAAATGGGAAAGCTCTCTTTCTCTGAGATTACGTTCCCATCGCTTCGTCTTATATGGCACCTTAGCGGCACTTCACACCAAGCACTAGAAAAGCAAACACTCGAAATATCGGTCAACAATCCACATGTTAAGCAGGCTTCTTCCTCCCATTGACAGAGAGGAAATTCGATGGTGGCTGGCTGAGCTTTAGGGACTATCTGGGCCTAGACCGCATCCTTCGAGCTAGAAGCCAATAGTTTGTGGATCCCAGTAAGATGAACCACAAACCTGGAATCGACGTGGACGGCCCAACGAGGCGACGTCAACGATTCAATAGTGGGTCTGGGGCTTGTTTGGATTAACCTTGCACGCTACTGCAGGTACCGTGAACATCTGGCTGGAAATAGGAAAGAAACCGGCCTCGAGAACAGGAGACAAGTCAAAAGAACGAGCTGGATTGGACGAGATGTTCGGGACCGAGGCATCCGATGACATCAGGATCCAATCTTATACACCATGGACTTCCCCGACCCCATCATCCTCTGAAGTCCCCGTTTAGGACTTTCCAGTCGAACCAAACCTCTCCACCGCATCTTGGAGGCTGTCCTTCAAACTCGTCCACCCTTCCTGTCCGACAGCACCCAACAACAAGAGGGGGATGTCCGCCTGGATCTCCGATTCCTCATATTGATATGATCCCGGCAATTCCATCCAGTCCTTCCTCTTAGGATACAAGTCCTTGAAGATGTCCAGAGGCAGCTTCCAATTGAACCGCCCCGCAGACCCAAAGACCCGTGATCCAGTCAGGCCCGATACCAACACGCCCAGATACAGCCGACCCGCATCTCGAGCATCAATGGCCCACGCCGGTCCGAGAATGGGAATGAAATCTAACACCTCCTTCTGCTTTCCATCGTACAAATCCCTGACCAACCTAGCCGTGCTGGCCGACTGATTCATAGGATTAAGGATGGGCCCAATGACGGTGGAAATAAATGACCAAGGTATTGCGTTGAACGTAAATTCGGGGTTTTCCCTCGCAACCCAGTCCCACATCGCCTCCTCGACTTTGACCCTGATAGCCATGAACGGAGCAAGTCCCTTCTCGGCATCAGGAATGATCGAATCTTCAGCTAATACCACCGCTTCATGATTCCACGACTCCTCCGTCATCATCCTAGCGGCGACCACGGCCTTGGGCTTGTACGCCGCCCACGAAGAGCTGGTGTAGATGAATGCCTTGACGGTGTTTGAGCCCGCCGCCGTCCTGGAGGCGTGGAGTAAGCCGTACAGAATTTTGAGATCTTCATTGACGGCTTTGAAACGTCTCTGTCGGCAAATGAGGCGGTTCCGACTCCGCTGATTACGGTGGAGACGCAGGCAACGTGGGCTTTCCAGATTCGCGGGATGGTAAAGTTGGGGACTTCAATGAGCTCGAGACGGTTGGCGCCGTGGCGCGAGGCGAAGAAGGGCTTGACCCAGGTGCATCGGGATTTGGAGCGGACGGTGCCGCGGACGCGGTAGCCGGCGGAGAGCAGCTGGTTGGCTATGTGGCTACCAATTAGGCCGTTGATTCCGGTGAGGAGGATAAGAGAGTTGAGCGGGATGAAGGGGTCTTGGGTGATTTTTAGGGGGATGTTGGCCATGGCGTGGTTGATTCCGCTTTGCTGTCGAGGACTGGTATTTTCAGTTATTGCGTTAAAGGATTCGAGACGTATCGGATGAAAACGAGCAAAATGGCCCGAAAAGAAGAGCACAACAACACCGAAGAGTTTCGACCATAAAATATCGTGGACTGAGGGGTAGCTTCATTTCGGTTACACGAATCGATGCCGACAGCCTCGAAGTCGTGAGCGGCGACCTACCATGGTACGGATGGGAGTATTCTGCTTTGAAATCAGTAACAGAATCGACAACCAACCTGCGCACATTCCATCAAATATCATCCGCTTAGCAAACAAGGCGGCCAATGACCTCTGGTGAGAACCGGATGTTTTGTTGGGGCATCTGCTTGATGGTGTTACACAATAGCCGGGAGAAGGCTGACGGCAGACCGAAATATGAGGGACTCGATCACTGGGCGGACCCAGAATCGACGGGTGCTTCGAGGTTAGAATGGAGGCCAAAAACAAGTGTTCTAGAAACCAGATCCACGCTGGAAGTCAATGGGAAGCGTGAGAGAAGGTGGGAATCGAGCTTCGGTAAATGACTGTATGGGGCCGCCTATATTGGCGTGCGCCCTCGAAAATAACGTTCCCTCGACATCCCTGGTGTCGGTGACTTGTGTCGCAAAAAGTACCCGTTTTTATGGGAGATGATCCAAGATCCGCGAAAAAGAAAGTTGGAAAGACGACAAACAGGGGATAAGGTCGAGAACGGGAAACTGCTGCTGGCCGTAACTGGCCGTAACTGGCCATCCTTATCTGATGATCAGATAATCGCGCATCTCCACCTCCAACTCCTCTTTTAGGGATAGAGCACCCCTGTCGGCGCTGTTTAAGTGGATCGAGCCGCTGAAGACGTTCACGATTGTCTCCATTCCCCCCCACCTTGAAGGCACCTCCGGCCGGCCGACATGCGTCATAACCATCCATGTCTGTCTTCTTGATGGATTCATGATCTTTTCCCCTACTCCTTCGATTCATTGACTGTTCAAACAACAACGAAACGAGCTGCTTTAACGAGGACAAACGGAAGCTCCCTTGACTTCATGAGCCACTCCCGCTGACCCCAACTTCCGACTCTAATTCCAACTCCAATTCTCACAACCACACCGAGCGCATCATCTCACTTCGGCCTGCCCGAATTCATACAACAGATAGCTACATTACCTCTACTCATTACCACTCGCAACATGACATCCCAACCCCCAGCCCGCCGCCTCCGCATCGGCGTCGACGTCGGCGGCACCAACACCGACGGCGTCATCCTCGACCCCTCCCTCGCTTCTTCCTCACCTTCAAAGGGCATCCTAGCCCACATCAAGACCGCCACCACCCCGAACCCCAGCGACGGCATCATAACCGCCATAACCTCCATGTTCACCCAACTTTCCGAGGGAATCCGTCCCCAGGACTCCATCGCCAGCGTCACCATCGGCACCACGCACTTCGTCAACGCCGTCATCGAGCGGGACCCCACGCGCCTCTCTCACGTCGCCGTCCTCCGTCTTTCCGGTCCCTTCTCCAAGCACGTCCCGCCCTGCGTCGACTGGCCCGATGATATGCGCTCCCTGATTCTAGGCTACAACGCGCGCGTGAAGGGAGGGTTGGAAGTGGACGGGTCGTTGATAAGCGATATTGATGAGGACGAAATCCGTCATCACTGCCGGGAAATCAAGAAGAAAGGAATCAGAGCGGTGGTGGTTAACGGGGTGTTTAGTCCCATTGATACCGTCCACAAACAAGAGGAGAGGGCGGCGGCGATTGTGAGATCCGAACTGGGAAAGGAGGGAGTGGACGTGGTGTGCTCGAAGGATGTGGCAAACTTGGGGTTTTTGGAGCGGGAAAATGCTGCGGTCTTGAATGCGAGTATACTGCGGTTTGCGAGACAGACGATTAGGGAGTTTAGGGGCGCGGTGAGGAGGATGGGATTGAAGGGTTGCCCGGTGTTTATCACGCAGAATGATGGGACGATTTTGTCGGGGGAAGCTGCGACCAAGTTGCCGATTAAGACTTTTTCGAGCGGACCGACGAATAGTATGCGGGGAGCGGCGTTCTTGGTGCAGCAGCAGGAAGACAACGAAAAGAAGGAAGGGGAGGCGATGATGGTGGTGGATATTGGTGGGACCACCACTGATGTTGGACTCTTGTTGCCTAATGGGTTTCCGAGACAGCAGGCTGCTTATAGCGAGTTGGCTGGAGTGAGAATGGTATGTTATTTTGCCCACGATGGTCTCAATGAAAAGAGGGTTTATGACTCTAGTGTATATCGGTGGCTGACTGATTCCGTCCGAACTCTACTGACTGTGAGTATAGAACTTCTCATGTCCCGACATTAGAAGCATCGGTCTCGGCGGCGGTTCCATTGTCCGCAAGAACTCAAACGGCATCACTGTCGGCCCAGACAGTGTCGGCTACAAGATTAACAAGGAAGCCCTTCTCTTCGGCGGAAGCACGCTTACTACAACAGACTGCACCGTGCTCGCCAACCCTGACATCACCAGCATCGGCGACGCCAGTCTCGTCAAAGACATCCTGACCGAGGAAGAAACCCGGCAGTTCAAAGCCATTGTCAAGAGCAAGATCGAAAAAATCATTGATAACATGAAGACCTCACCGGAGGACTTGCCAGTTATTCTCGTGGGCGGCGGTGCAGTTATTGCCCCTGATCAGCTGCAGGGCGCAAGCAAGGTCCTCAAGCCCCGATGGTCCGAGGTTGCCAACGCGATCGGAGCCGCCATTGCTCGCGTTAGTGCTGTTGTGGACACCATCAAGTCGACCGAGACGAAGACAGAGAAACAGTTCTTGGAGGAGATCAAGAATGAAGCTATCGAGAGAACCGTTGCAGCTGGTGCTTCACCGGATTCTGTTGAGGTTGTGGAGATTGAGATGTTGCCTTTGCAGGTAAGTCTGGTCTGGCATTTACCCCGCGTGCACCAGGCAGGCCTAGATCATGTACCTGATGCGGGCCCTTATGTGGATTGGAAGTGACGAACGACTTGCTAACCAAATGGCACTTGCCATGCCAGTACGTCGAGAACAAAACTCGTTTCATCGTTCGCGCAGCCGGCGACTTCGATTTCACGCGATCAGATTTATCAAGCGACGACGACGACAAGGAGGAAGCCACCGAAGACGCCGTGGACAAGGACTCCTCGCGCGAGCCCCAAACAGTCACCGACACCAGGCCGACAACACAACAAGGAGAAGTCGACATCCTCACTTACACCCCGACGGTCCGCAACCGCATCTGGCACATCTCCGAAACAGACCTCACCTTCATCTCCACAGGTTGCTACATCCTCGGTACCGGCGGCGGTGGCTCTCCCTACGCCTCCATGATCTTGCTCCGCCAACTTCTCCGCTTCGGCGCCTCCGTGACGGTCGTCTCGCCCCAAGACGTACCCGACACCGCGGCCGTCGGGTGCGGATGCGGCGCCGGGTCGCCTACGGTCAGCATTGAGAAGCTCCAGGGAGACGAGATGATGCAAGCGCAGACGGAACTCTACAAAGCTTTACCTGCAGGCCAGGGTAACAAAGCAACCCACATGATAGCACTCGAAATCGGCGGCGGCAACGGCCTCCAAGGCATGACGCTCGGCGCGAGCACCAACATGAACATCCCCTGCGTAGACGGCGACTGGATGGGACGTGCATATCCGACCAAATGGCAGACTACGCCGGTTGTATTTAACGAGCGCTCGCCTATCTGGAGTCCCATCGCCGTTGCAGACGGGAACGGGAACGTGCTTGTGATGCCCAAGGCGGCGTCGGATGCGGCTGTGGAAAGGATCATTCGTGCAGCGCTGAGCTCCATGGGTAGCCAGGTTGGTGCTGCCGATCCGCCCGTTACGGGCGCGGAGATGAAGAGGTGGGTGGTGGAGAATACGGTGTCGCAGGCGTGGAGGCTGGGAAAGGCCGTGGCGAGGGCGAGGGCGATGAATCGGTTGGATGAGGTGGCGGAGATGATTGTGGAGGAGTGCTCTTCTGGTGGTGCACGTGGGAGAGAGGAGGGGCCGCAAAAGGGGGCGAAGGTGTTGTTCAAGGGAAAGATTGTGGGGGTTAGGAGGACGTTGAGGATGGGTCATGTTTATGGGGAGTGTATCATTGAGGGAACGGATGTGTCGGATGATGCTACTTCTACGAGTGGTGGGAAGCGAACACCAAGTGCCATTGGGGAGGACTTCACTGGCAAAAGGATCAAGATCCCGTTCAAGAACGAGAACATCGCCGCTATCCGTATATCCGCCTCGGAAAATGATGGGTCTGATGACGAGGGCAACAACGACGGCGAGAACAAGGAGTTGGAGAAGCAAGAGGACGTGCTGGCGATCGTGCCGGATCTGATCTCAGTCATCGACGCTCAAAGCGGTGAAGCCGTGGGCACCCCAGAGTATCGCTATGGCTTGCTGGTGATCGTTCTCGGAATCGCCGCTTCAGACAAGTGGACCGGGTCACAGAGAGGCATCGATCTTGGTGGTCCCAAGGCGTTCGGCTTTGACCACCTGAAGTACGAACCGCTGGGCAGGTTCGTGAAGCCGGTTAGTGTTATTGATGAGTTTGATAGGTCGACCGAGTAAGTGTACAGGAGTGCTGCAGGCTGGAAGTAGCTCATCCCTGTTCTATACCTAGGGTAGATCTTAGATCTCAGCTTGGATACCTAGAGGACATAGATCTTGCCAGGATAGTCCTGGCGGTAGATCAGATGAAACTGATAAGCCTGACTTGAGTCAGGCACCGGATCTAAGCATTTGTTTCGAAACAGGGAATGAGTGACTCGCAAGGGGAATGGCTGATTGGTTTGGCTCAACCTCAGCTGTCTGTGCCATCGATGAAGCGTATCGTAGACGGGATGGACGACGATCGCAGAGTCCGTGTTCCTGATAACACTCCTGAAAAACGTATTGTGTACACGACATGCTCATTTCTTGTTGTTTGCCTCTCTGTACTCAAGTTCACAGCATGATCTGCCAGTAACTGATCCTTGACTTCTGTCCCCTTTTCTATCGCTTTCTGTCACGGACGGAATTTAGTATCAGAGCAGAGGACTTGTAGAAGAGTCCTGGAGGCACCGACTTGCTAACCGATACAACTCCTGTCCCCTAGATGCAGCCGATCTTGCATGAGCGTGACACTTCATTTGACGCCGTGTTCTGCTTCAAGTTTGATGCAGTCTAATGCCGTGTAATGCCGCCATCACAGAGAAACATGCGATAAACGTCTCTCTTACGCAAACATTTTTTATAAAAAAAGAGAAAACTTCATCTCTTCAACTCCAACTGCTTAAAATCAACTCAGTCGGGAGCCAGGCTTCGTTTTCTGACTTTAACACTAGTTCATCCACTTCTCTTCTTTCTCTTTCGGAGCAAAGTGAGCGATACTCTGATCGACGGTTGAGTGCTACAGCCATTCAGTCATGCGTGAGTTCCTCGAGCCCCTCAAAATCCGCCTTTCGCCAGCATGCCCAAATTTAAGCGGCTTTCGCTAACATCGTTGCGGTCTGCAGACAGAATCCGGACCTGGGCAAGGGCAAAAGCTCATGGCCCAGCGCCTCTGGTGCGCCCAAACCTGAGAGCAAGTGAAAGCCGCCGTGGCACACTCACGGCAGCCGATATTGACCGCCATGGCTCAGTGGTAGCTGGTCAGGTGGATGGAGAGCCACCGGTGTTCGCTGCTGGTCAAGAGATTCAACCAAAGAAGCCCTCGGCACTTACGCGCTTCTACTCCTGCGCTAAAGGCATTCTTTTTTGCAGCATATTGAACGTGGGCCTGGTCTTTGTACCGGTGGCGTTTGCCGTCCGTAGGTCCATTAAATCCCCTTCAGATTCCTCTCGTTGTATGACACTGAGCGGCTCAGGTTGGGTCTAAGGCTACAATGCCAGACGCCAGTGGCGATTCCAAGGGCTAGGCTCTAGGGAGATACCTCACCTAACCCTTCAAGACGAGCTACACTTGTAGCACTTCATGACCATCATGTGCTGCTCGCGTCAGACTCCCAGGTTGCTGACTTTCTGGTCTTTGCAGACTTTGCGTCCATGCCAGCTGGCGTGGTCTTCGCCATGAACGCCATTGCGATTATTCCTGTGGCCGGGCTCCTCAGCCACGCGACGGAAAGCATAGCCGGTCGTTGCGGTGACACGGTCGCTGCCTTGATGAACGTCACCTTTGGAAACGCTGTTGAGCTAATCATTTTCGTGTAAGTGAATCCGGATCCGCCACAGAATTCTTTTCACAGCGTCTTCTGTGTCGATCGTCCAAGACTCAAACTGACAAATGGTGCGTGAACAACAGAATTGCGCTCGTGAAAAACGAAATCCGGATCGTCCAGGCCTCCCTTGTTGGATCAATGCTGGTTAATCTCCTGTTGATCATTGGGATGTGCTTCATCTGGGGCGGTCTGCGCTACCGCGAGCAGCTTTACAACAGCACCGTAACCCAGATGAGCGCTTGTTTGCTCACGCTGAGTGTGCTGAGTTTGATGCTTCCAACCGCATTCCACGCCACGTTCAAAAACGTGAAGGAGGCGGATAGCAAGGTCCTACCCCTCAGCCGAGGAACTAGTATCATCTTGCTCCTTATTTACTTCCTCTACCTTACCTTCCAGCTGCAATCGCACTCCTATCTGTACGCACCAACGCCGAGGCACGTAATTGAACGGGCAACGGTACCTGGCCCTGCAGCTCATTACTTCAACTCTAGGCGTAACTCGTCTTCGTCTCCACCTGGGACTCGTGATGAGAATTCAAGACAAGCGCCCCAGGCAGTGTTGAACGAAGATGGTGGTACAGCTGGAAGACAGGAGAACAGCAGGGGTGTGACCACAACGGGACACAGCGCCGCTAAAAGGACGGCAGCTGTCACAGATGACACGCGACACCAGACGCAGGAACTGACGCCTGCTAACCACCCTATTGCTGACACGTTCGCTGTCAATGACGCAAGAGGTCCGGGCCAGCAGGGTGAAACCGAAAACGTTGATCCGTTGCAAGGTCGAGACCAGCATTCCGGGACCAACGAACATCATGTTGGTTTTAGCCTGGCCAGTGACTTGGAGGCACAGCAGGACACGACTCCTCGCACTGCGCCGTTCTTACTCAGATCGCTCCGGCCGATCTCAACTGCTGTTGCCTCCATACTGGAGCACCCCAACGAAGCAGAGCAACCGGAGAGCGGTGCACAGGCACTACGGCGTGTGCACTCTATGCCGGCTGGGACCCGGCGCGGCACCTGGCCGGAAATACCGGCAGTGGTCCCCATTGTGGTTGACAGCCTACCGGGTTCGCCAAGAAACAGCGAGGAAAAGCCAAAGGCCCAGGAGGCCCAGGAGGAACCGGAGGTGGAAGTTATGTCGCAGAAAGCCGCCATCATTCTTCTTCTGACCTCAACCGGCCTGGTCGCCCTCTTTGCCGAGTTCATGGTGGACTCCATCGATGCAATCGTCGCCCGGGATGCAAACGCAACCACAGGCATCTCTGAGGCCTTCATCGGTCTGGTACTCATCCCCATTGTAGGCAATGCAGCTGAACATATCACATCTGTGAGCGTGGCACTCAAGAACAAGATGGACTTGGCACTAGGCGTGGCACTGGGCAGCAGCATCCAAATTGCGCTGTTTGTGACGCCCGTGGTTGTTATCTTGGGATGGATCATGGATCGAGACATGTCCCTCTACTTTACCCTCTTCGAGACTGTTTGCATGTTTGTTAGCACCTTCATCGTGAACTTTCTCGTTAGGGATGGGAGGAGCAACTACCTCGAGGGAGCACTTTTAGCATCTGCCTACCTCATTATCTCCGTGGCAGCCTTTTACTTGCCAAATCCGAGGCTGGCCAGCTCTGTTGGGTAATGATGATATGACGCAGGATGGGAAGCTGGAGTGGATAGGCAAAATTCGGGTTACAGATAAACGGTTAACATTCAAGTCTCAGACTGAATCGGTGGTTTGTTGGGCGAAGGAGGTTTCGCGCTTCTGTCAACCGCCATATTGGTAGATGCCGTACCAGCTGCCGTACCAGCCCGGAGCCTCTCATTTGGGAGCTGCTGCTGCTGCAATATTGCAAACAGGGCTGGCTGAACGAGTCTCAATTAGGTACATTATGGTCCCTCCTTTGTGCCGCTGGTGGTGGATTTGCTGGATGAATTGCAAGAGGAGGCGAGAAACCAAAGAGGGCCAGTGATGTCGTAAAAGTAGTCTTATTGATAGCGGGATTTCCAGCGAAGGACCAGATGAAATTTCATAGCTCACATATCAGGATAGATCGAAATGGCAATAATCCGTGAACGGCACAATACGCCATAGGTGTTCGCCGACCAGTTGTCTTGTTTGTGTGGAGGTCGTAGCATTCCAGATTGACCGAAGACTGAATAGCTCGTGATGTTGGGCTTTTCAAGGACGTCAAATATGAGTACCTCCTGGTACAAGTGATTTTCGATTGGACAAGGTGAGAGACACTGAGTTTGGATAGTGTGTCGTTCCTCTCTTCCTCTGGAACATTTCCGCAAGACAACCGAGCTCGGTATCTGACAGGGGAGAAAGGGACCAGGTGTGGTGACTTCGAGAAAGTGGATAGATCATGACAGAGATTGGACCTGGTTGTGTAGGGCTTGAAGAGAACGGGGAAATAGAAACTGGAGCAGCCTGGGATATAGGAAAGGCAAGTCCAGCAAGAACGAGCGAAGGTATACGTCCATCCTCCGAGTGGTAGCGATTCTCCGACTATGAGCGTAGGTGGTGGTCTTTTAGAGGTTTGGTCTAATGAGGGTCGAGGCGGAGGAATTGGAGTAGTTTCGTGCGTTTGGGTGCCATAATTTTTGTGAAGGATATTACTGTCTTGAATTTTCACAGTTTTAGGGTAAAGAGAGAAAGAGGACATCAAGTTGGATTATGTGTTTCTTCTTTGGTCAGAGTCAAGAAAGCCGGGTAATGATCATGGTGGGTTTCAGGCATGAATGGAAAGTATACAGGCAGAAAAAAACTGTGGTCAAAAATCATGGATGACGGATGCTGAGTTGGAGTGTTACGCATCTTGGGAAAGGAGCCGATGAAGAAGTAGAAGTTGAAAAAGAGGAAGAAGATGATGACGATGATGGTTCAGGTGGAAGTTGTGGATTCAAATGTCGAACTGGAGACGAGACGAGTGACGATGAATGACAGCTCCACCGTGGGGAAGCACTACCACGCTTAACCAAAAGCATCCTGGATGTGGAGACCAATGAGAAGCAATTGTGGGTCGAAGCTCCATTGAAGTGGGACATGCCAAGAGGGTTTTGCACTCCATCACCGCCAAAATTTTGGACCGCCCGCATTCTGCTGCGTCCAGCCTTTGCAGGGGCAGCAGGTGCAAACCCAGAAGGTCCTCTGAATCCCATCAACACTTGGAAGCCGAGAATCGCGACAAATACCAGCGACAACTTCCAGCACAACACATTTCAAAATGGCGACAGTAATACCACCCCCGTCGAAGCGTCAGAAGAGAGAGGAGGTCGAGCGCACCACAACACAAGTCGATGTCGCCCAAGTACTGGCGCCTGAGCTCGGCTCCTTCAAGGCCAACTTTGTCGACAGCGATGGTAACCAGATGACCGATGTGATCGAAATCAACTTTGCCGATGCCACCGAAAAGAACATCTCCGTCCTGCTCAACACATTGCTCGAGAGAGACCGCGAAGAGTTCACCCCATACCGATTCCGCATCCATATTCCCGGCAAGGATATCATTGTCGACCAGTACCCTACCGACCTCCTCGGCCTTCTCAAGCAGCATGGCGTCGAGAATCCTTTCGAGTATGACAGACCAAGAACAAGCACTATTATCACGCACATGCCTTGCTGACGTCTCCGCGTAGAACCACCATCACACTTAGCGCCGAGCCCCAGGCTGTTTTCAGGGTACAAGCAGTTTCGCGCCTTGCCCATCGCATTCCCGGCCACGGTCAACCCATTCTCGCAGCCCAATTCTCTCCCATCTCCTCCGGTCGCCTTGCTACCGGTAGTGGCGACAACACAGCCCGTATCTGGGACACGAATACCGGTACCCCGAAGCACACACTGAAAGGCCACACCGGCTGGGTCCTCGGCGTCAACTGGAGGCCCGATGGAGAGCAACTAGCGACCTGCAGTATGGATGGCACAGTCAGGATATGGGATCCTGAGACCGGCAAGGCCGTTGGTCAGCCTTTCAAGGGCCACGCCAAGTGGGTGTTGATGACGGCGTGGCAGCCTTACCACCTGTGGAAGGACGGCACCCCTAGGATCGCCAGTTGCAGCAAGGACGGTACCTGCAGAATTTGGGTCGTGAACACAGGCCGCACTGAAAACGTCCTGAGCGGCCACAAGAGCTCGGTTGCCTGCGTGCGATGGGGCGGAACTGATCTCATCTACACTGGCTCGCACGACAAGACTATCCGGGTATTCGACGCCGTCAAGGGCACCTTGGTACACAGCCTGACAGCCCATGCCCACTGGATCAACCACATCGGTCTGTCGAGCGACCATGCCCTTAGGACCGCATACTTTGACCACGGCTCCAAGGATATCCCTACCACCGAGGAGGGCAAGAGGGAGAAGGCCAAGGAGCGTTTCGAGAGAGCGGCCAAGATCAATGGCAAGGTTGCTGAGCGGATAGTATCTGCCAGTGATGACTTTACCATGTACCTGTGGGATCCCACCAACAACGGTACCAAGCCCGTTGCTAGACTTTTGGGACATCAGAACAAGGTGAACCAGGTTCAGTTCTCTCCCGACGGCACTCTGATTGCCTCGGTTGGTTGGGATAACAGCGTCAAGCTCTGGAATGCCAGAGATGGCAAGTTCCTCAAGAGCTTGAGGGGTCATGTTGCACCCGTAAGTTTCTCCAATTTGTATCCCTTACCACGCCAGAACTTTCTAACACCATGTTGTCTCAGGTCTACCAATGCTCCTGGTCCGCCGATAGCAGACTTCTCATCACGGCTAGCAAAGATACCACCCTCAAGGCATGGAATGTGCGCACTGGCACTCTCGCCATGGACCTTCCCGGACACGAAGACGAGGTATGTGAACCGAACGAAACCCCCGACATCGGTATTTCGTTAAGAAAATTCTAACTCGCTTCCAGGTATACGCCGTGGACTGGTCCCCGGATGGCAAGATGGTAGGATCTGGCGGAAAGGACAAGGCCGTGAGGACATGGAGGAACTAAGGGGAGAAAGCGGGAACGAAATCCTACCCTCCTACAGCCGGCCAGCAAAACCCGGGAGCACCGGCTCTGCCTACATGACCCGTGGAGGCTTCACAGCGGTGTGATTCGATTTCTTGGCCTGCTTCCGTGGTATTTGCAGCAGTTCGCACGAACGCGAACGAGCCGGTACTCGGATACCACCTACCACTCTGCCAGGAACACTCTTTCCCGGCAATGCTCACGAGCCAAGCCAAGAATCTTCTTGGACGTCAGCCTAGCTACTATTATCGGCTCACCAAAGGAGGTCTGACTGAGTCAAAACGCAAATTGGCAGCACACCACCTCGACTCGGAAGCATGGATGGTGGTGTTGTGAGGCTGATAAGTGTTTGCCGAACTGCGCCTTCTGCCATTGCCAAACTTCCAGAATCGCTGGGCAAGAGCGAAAGAGGGCGGTGGATGGAATTGGGTCTGCAGTAGATCGGTAAAACTTCCCAGCCGTTGCCCTGCTTCTCAATGTCACCATCATTATCGCACGATCACACCTGGACATCGATCACCCAAGAAATGCTCAAAGGATTTGGAAAATGGATGAAAAGCATCATAGACAGACGGATGTGGACGTGGTTACGTTACCTAGGCAAGCGATATCCGGCGGTATTTCATTTTAGATTTTTTCTGTTGATTTTTCTGTTGATACATGCGAGCATTTGTGATGGCAAAAAGGCCTTCATTGCGCGGATCAATGCAGCGCGTTGTTGGATGCCACTATATAGACAAGGATAGTGATATGCATTGCACGCACAGTTCGAACCTAGGGAGACGTTGGTCGGGTTGATTATGGCGTTCGTTTGGAGCTAGTGAAGAGATCTTCGTTGTGACTTTCAGAGTTGCAGACAGCTTTTTAAAGACGGCATGGTGACAGGGTGATTACATCGCGGAAACAACATGTAGCATGAGCCGCTGCACACTGCGGGCCTTTTGTTTCTTGTTCGTGCGAGTTGCGGGGAGAATCTCGGCCGCTGTTTCCTTCGTGTCTTCTTTACTTTCACGTTCCTGAAGCACACATGGTAGGAAAGAGGGAAACTCGTTATCTGTCTGCGAATCCTGGTCCTCACTCTGGCAGCCTTCCATTCCCCGCCCCGCCGTGCCGCCGTCCGGCATCGCCGTGATTACCGGCCCCGCTTTTCTCCCCTTCCTAACTTCCATGTTTCCAATTCCAAGCCTTCTGTTGCATTGGATGACGGACGGCAAGTTCAACGGTCATTTATTTCGTCGCTGTGGTTTATCTGTCCCTTCCACTTCACTTCAGTTCTTCCCTTGTCACATTTCCCAACTGTTGTCAAATGCCTCACGGCTTTTTTATTTGTGATTGCGTCTAAGTTGCCGGTCGTCACACCAATGAAGAAGCATTCGGTTATGCCTCATGCTTTTTTTCGCGATGAGTGATGTCATCTTTTGATCAGCACTTGCAAGGACTTCAGTTGGTGAGCTATTTCTTCGAGAGCCGAGAGGTCAAATTAGTAGCAACCAATGTGACGGTGGGATAGAAGCATTGATTCGAAGATTCCGTTTTCACGTTTTCACCAAATGCTTCGTACCACCATTTTCAAATGCTGGTTGGACTTCTCCATTCCCCCAAACTTCGTCAACAACCAACCGCAACCCTCAAAATGCAGTGGCATCTCGGAGTCTCGGGAGATATCGGGACATACCTGTCCCCATCGTCACACCCATTGAAACATTTGAAACTGAACGGGCAAGAGCCACCCATGCATTCCATGCAGTTGCAACTCTGATGTTGTCCTGGGCTTCTAGGTTTCTGGGCTTCTGGGCTTCGGTTCTGGGCTCCTTCTCGGCGACGCTCTTGCTGCTAGGAAGTTCCGTTGCATTCATACCTGCGCCTTCTTTCGTTGTGGAAATGTTGGGCTTGGCGGCTGTACAGAAAACTTCCCCTCCCCCGCACCTGCCGTCATAGAAACCACCCCTGTAAACGCCCATTTCTTGGCTGCTTGACTGCGCCTGACCGCCAAGACTTTGAACTGTCGATTCGAAAAAACAGAACAGGAAACGACTTCCATCTATTGATTTGTGACTTCCACTTGTATGAATGCCATCGTCAGTCTCATCCGGCCGAGTTTAACACACTCTCGTCGCTTCTCATCTTGTGACTTTCACCGAGTTTATTCCAAGGTCATCAAGCACCTTCCATTTGCTTTCCTCTCGGTTCCCCTCCCCACACCATTATAGCTTTCACTTGGCCCGGTCCTTGGTAAGCGCCGCCGCTGCTCCTCCTTCTGTAGTTCTGCCGATCAACGGATTGAAGCGAGTCCAACCCAACTACATTTTACACTAGAGGTCTATCTTCGGGTATCAGTCCGTTCACTCACAGCACGTTCCGAAAGCTGTGAATCCTACTGGACACTTTTGTGGTACCGCCCTATTCTAGATTTCCATCGCCGGTCGGATAAGCCTTGAGGTTTTGAGGCATTGTCCATAGGACCTAGTTCTAAGGAAGGAAGGATTGACACCCCGTCTGCCGGACCCGGAGTAACAGGACCGACCGGACGTAACGACAACAACTTTGAAGTACTAGAAGTCAACAATGGCAGAGAGTTTGCTATGTCATGCTCACCACGACCAAAACGCAAACGCGCTTCTCTTGTGTCCGTCGTACCCAAGGTAGAAGCGATTTGCACATGTCATGGAAGTTACTCGCCTCTCTTCTGCCCTACCCCGTGACCGGAGTCCGGAGAATTTTACACAAGTTTTGTTGGACAAGTGGAATGCTGTGTTCGTGTATTCCCTTCGTGCCGTCTTTCGTTCGGGTCCGTCAACCAAAGGGGTCTGAAGGTCCAATCTGTAGATGATCAAATCGTCTTCTTTTTTCGGGATCTGCCCTTGCCATGTGCTGTGGTCCGTGGTCCTGTGGATGAATGGATGAATGGATGGATGGATGGGTTGCGAAACAACCGCAACCCCCGTTGGTCGTTGGTGTTGGTAGCATCGCACCGCATTCGGCGAGAAACCCATCCCATCGCTTGCAAGGTCGGAAATTGGGAAGCATGCAATGCGCCTCTTAGTTTTCTGACTATCAAACCGCCTGCCGGATCGACGGCGTCTTACAGCCGGCTGATGGACCGATTCCCTGTCGTCTTTTTTTCTTTTGTCTCAACAACATGAACCTCGTGGAACTCTTCTTGACGATTTGTGGTTGGGGATCCAAAGTAGCATCCTCTCATCAGTGCTCATCTCAAGAAACCCAGTGATACTCTTCCCATGTGTATCTGTAGAGGTAAATGTACAAGTGCTGTCCTCCACATGTCCCCATGATTGCACTAGAGCTATTCTGGCCTAGGCTCAGGGATTACCCGATCTCCAGTCAGTTACGCAGAGGGTACCCGTCGATGCTGCTGCTTGATGGTCCAGTCTGGGCCAATATACCTACCAGCCTTGCGGATATGTGTACGCCACCGTTTATAGTCACAGGAAAACGGCTCACAACCACGCTACATGGCGAGGCAGGACGTACAAGAGTCAAGAAGAGTGCTTATAGGAAGTGAAGTTTGACACTGACACAACACCCCACGAAGCCTGCCGCATCAAGGTCTTTCCGTTCCACGATCGGGGGGCGGCAGATGGGCGACAAGCACGAATGATGGAGATTTTTCAAAGATGATGATACTGATATTTCCTTGTGTCTAATCGAGCCGGCAGGCATCTGTACTCAAGGTGGTAGTTACACCTCTGCCGGGAGATGCCCTTTAGTGAGGTACCGCAAGGCTACAGGAAACTAAGATTTTGCGCGCTCACGGCTGCAAGGGTTCTGTAGCATACTAGCAGAGGCGTCGGACCTGCACTAATAGGAAGTCCGCAAGAATCTACCATTTCCACCCCGGTAGAAATCCAGTGTCAACCGCGAACCGCGAACCGCAAGTCCTAAGCCTCGCGTACCTTACCTTTCGTGGTGCTGACCATTATCATTACCTCCCAAGTCTACTGTGGTACATATGCAACCTCTCATGGTGCTGATCTCGGCACTAATAAGTTACCACATGGATGTTACTCGATGGACGTGTAAGCGTACCTACACCTCTACTGACGGACGAAACTCTTCGGGCTAAGCACATCACGTCGGTTGTCACATTAGCGCCGGCTGAAAAAGACTTTTGTTGGACGACAAGCTCCACCAAAACCTTGATGGCTTTCTGTCCTTTGTTCCTTCCTTCGGTTACAGGCAGCGGATTCTGCGAAAATCACAAGCATCTTTATGACTAACATGTTGCTACACCGGTTTGCCTTTTGAGTAAGGCCAAGCCCTCTTTCCTTAACAGCTGTTAGAGCTCATCAGCTGCCCCAGACATGTGGCCCTTTGGAATGTGCGTAGCGTAATGAGAAGTAGGATTACGTGATAGGATGTTAGGAAAGAGGTTGCTGGTTGTAAAGTGATGGTGGTGTTGGTGAAACACTGCAAGCCCCAGATCGGGCTTGGTTGCTGACCACTTAATTCCCGGAAAAAACATGGGTCCTACTGTCTCCAAGAAGATAAGCAAGCACGTTTGACAGCTTTGCAATCTCGAGTCTCACCAAAGCCGGGACATCGAATCGGGAGGTTCGCACGAGAACGACATGCTCATGTCAAATGGGAGCTGCAGTCCGTCCTGCATCTTGAGGTCAGGTCAGATAGCAAGATAACGAGTAAGACTTAAGCTCCTGGCAGATGGCAACCTGAAGAGCCAAAGGATAGGAAGAAAAGAGTTTCATCTCGAGACGGGATGAAGTTGACAAAAAAGGGACAACCACCATGGGGCATGTCACTTTGCTCCGGACCCCGAACCCTTGTCAGCCTGCGGCCCCTCACCTTGGTGCTCATCCACCTTTCACGGCCACAGTGCGTCCATCACGATTCCAACGTGACCCCTGTCATCCACAGGGGAAATCTAACCTGTTCCCTGGCGCAACTGCCAAAACGTGCTTCCTTCTTGGCCCTCTTCAAGCCATCATCAAGATGACAGGCCGGCCGGCCACACGACAAAGTTGCAGAAACCCCAGAAGTAGGAGCAGCTGGGCACAAGGCAGGTATACATACGCCGGTCATATTGCAGAGTATTGGAAAAACCGACAAGGCAGAAGGAGTCAAGAAAACAATCAGGCAAACAGGGCCTGTGACAATATTGCTCTCCAAGCGAGTTGCTTGGCCGGGATCCCAGCCATTCACGGTTCAGAGGATTGAAAATTGCATGTTCAAGATCTCCTTCAGTTGACGGGACCCACACCATGTCTTTCCTTCGCGCAAAGTGTTTGAGGTACCGGAAAAGAGGTCGTGTTCTGTTTTTCGAGAATTTGTCTGGCCAAGCCCATTCTCGGCGTGGCTTGTGAGGTTTCTGTTTGGTATCCCCGGCCCATACGGCCCCGCCTTCCCGTCGACATTCTCGATCGAATCGAGCGATCCGCTGCCCAAAATAAAAACCACCGAAGCCCCTCCACTCTTCCATGTGTTTCGTGGTTTCTTTGCTGGAGTCCTCACATCCCCGTTCAATCATCTGGACAAACTGATCATCCATAACATGCACCACTCTGTCGTCGTTGATTCTTCTTTCCCACAATACTTGAAACTCCCTCTGTCTGCCTCTGCTTCCTTATCATCGGCAGCGTGACCCATCACCGGATGAAAAGGTCATATCATCGCCCGAGATCAAAGCTACCTCTATAGTTTTTGCCCCTCTCCGAGTAAGTAAGCTCTGTTTCTCTAGTACACATGTCCCGTTGACGTGATCATACCGCGTCTCAACCTGGAAACTACCACGCTGTCAAGCCGGTCTTGCCTTTCTGTTCACTGTGAGAACTGCGGGCCTAATGGGAATGGAGATGGGCCGTCGGCGGGATGGCAGAGGTCAGTTTCTTTGTGCATTAGCACCGGAAGCTAGCTCGCTGTTACGTCAGTGTCGGTCAAATGCAGTCTTTTCAGGCTGGGCTCCACTACAACGCCGGGCTGCTTCAAGTTCCTCAGCACCACATTCGTCATTGCGCTGTTCGTTTATCCGGCTCGTCCAGTCGACGGCCGTCTGCGAGCAGCTATCTCGATCTCTTTTTGGGCAGCTTCACCTAACTGCCCCGCTGCATGTGCCTGGGCAGCAGATGTCAAGGAAGTGCATGCAATTGGGCTGACACTCGATAAATAAAACAGTTTCCTTTCTTCTTCCTTCCAAAAGAAAGCCTCTCACATCTTTGAACTCTCCGCCCATTACATCCATCCACTGCCCCTTCCTTAACCGGCATAATCCCCTGACAGGCAGAGACGCAAGAGTAATCGCGCCTTCAAGCCCAAACACTACTTTCGAAACTAAGGTATGCTGCCTACCCTGCCCGTGACCCCGTGGCCTTGGTCATGCTCGGCCACTAGCTTCTCCCATGTCCTTTGGTCACTTATTTTTCACATTCCAATCCAAATCCTTCCTTCTTCCCTCATAACTAACCTAGAGTCCCCTCCCTCAGGCGGAAGCTCGACCACCTCCAAGCTCCTCAACTTCTGCCGAGTCCCGCATACTTGACTCGTCCTACCTTACGCACGTCCATCGTCTGCACCGCCATCTTGTCTTGTTCACCTCTTAGATTGAACGCCCGGTTCCCGCGCCCAAGAGATTCTGACGCGACCTAAAAGTCCCGATACAACCCTCGACGCCCTCAAGCTCGGCGACGCGTTCACTGCCATATCTGATGAGCACGACAGACGCCCGATAGCAGACATCCTGGTCGCCGTCATCTCCATCACGTCTATATACCATTCAGCAGATCCTACAGTCTCTTCAAGTTTCGACCTATCAGCTTGTCACCACTAACAATCGCCTACCATGACTGTTTTTATTGCCTCGCTGTAAGCTCTCACCACTTTGAACTCTTTTTTTTTTCAACCTTGCGTTTGCATTGCATTTCTACACCAGGCTACCTTGTCCGGATCTCCTACCCCCCTCTCGGACGGGTGGGTCCTAACAATGAAATAGGGAATGAGGTCATGGATGCAGTTACTGACTTGACGGAAACTTTGACAGCCTTCTCCCCAAGACCATTCATTTCAACCTTCCCGGTGCCCGGCCAAGAGGTGCCTCGACGGCTCAAAAGAAGGCGAGCAAGCCGAAGCACCCTTCTCCCGATACTCCTCCTAGCCTGTTCCAGCCGGCGCCCAACCATATTACTCCTCCGCACACACCGACGGAGGACCGCAAGCACCATGTCCCTTGGACCAACGAGGATGGATTGAAGGTGCAGATTCCTCAAATGCCGTTCTCTCCTGATGGTGGCAACCGTGCTCCAATCGATCGAAGCTCTCCAACATGGGGTGGCCGGGCGGACCAGCCCATGTCCCGGGCCAATTCCCCTCCGCCTCCTTCGTTGATCGACAGCAGCCATGCCCTGAACAAGAAGGCCAGAGAGTTGGGTCGTCAAGGCATCACACAGCCACAGAGCCTGGTCAGAAGCGAAAGTCACGACCGAGTTTTTGCCCAGGCCGACTGGAAGGTCGTCAGCGCCGATCAGGGTAACGGTGGGTTGCGCAACGCCGCCGAGGCAGCTGCCAGAGATGGCAAGCTTGGAGACTACACCTGGGTTGGAACTCTGGGCATGCCCGTGGACGCCCTCATGGGCACTCAACAGCTCCAAGACATCGAGGACAAACTTGCCACTGAGCATGACATGCTGAGCGTGTTGTGTTCCGACAAGGACTTCGACGCTCATTATTCCCACTTCTGCAAGCAGATCTTGTGGCCTGTTTTCCACTACCAGATCCCAGACAACCCCAAGAGCAAGGCGTACGAGGATCACTCGTGGAAGTACTACGTGAAAGTCAACCAGGCGTTCGCCGACAAGATAGTTAAGAACTGGAAGAAGGGTGACACGGTCTGGATCCACGATTACCACCTCCTCCTGGTGCCCGGAATGATCAGGAAGAAGATTCCCGATGCCAAGATTGGCTTTTTCCTTCACGTCGCCTTCCCTTCCTCCGAGGTCTTCAGGTGTTTGGCCGTCCGCAAGGAGCTCCTCGAAGGCATGCTCGGCGCGAACCTCATCGGCTTCCAGATCAAAGAGTACGCCAGACATTTCCTGCAGACCTGCAGCCGGATTCTGAGCGTCGAAGCCACCCCGGATGGTCTTCAGCTCGAGGACCGTTTTGTCGACGTCATCAACTGCCCGATCGGTATTGACCCTGTTAGTCTCAGCAAGCACCGTGAAGAGAGCGAGGTTAAGCGTTGGCTCGACATAATGCGTGAGCGCTACGCGGGCAAGAAGCTCATTGTGGCACGGGACAAGCTCGACCACGTCCGCGGCGTGCGTCAGAAGCTGCTCTCCTTCGAGATGTTTCTTAATATGAACCCTGAGTGGAGAGACAAGGTCGTTCTGATTCAAGTTGCCCTTTCAACCAGCGAGAAGAGCGAATTGGACGCGACTGTTAGTGATATTGTCACTCGCGTCAACTCTTCGTGGGCCAACTTGGCCTATCAGCCTGTCGTCTATCTCAAGCAGGACATCGACTATCCCCAGTATCTTGCACTGTTGAGCATCGCTGATGCTCTCATGATCACCAGCCAGCGTGAAGGCATGAACCTCACATCCCACGAATACCTTTTCTGCCAGGACGGCAAGTTTAGCGAGAAGAAGCACGGCTCATTGATCCTCTCCGAGTTTACGGGTACTTCCTCGTTGTTTAATGGAAACGAGTTGTCTGTGAACCCTTGGGACTACAGGGCCTGTGCAGATGCCATCAAGAAGGCCCTCGAGATGGAGGGCGAGGAGAGGGAGCGCCGCTGGAAGAGCCTGTACAACGCCGTCAATGTTCACACCGGCTCGCACTGGTTCTCTGAGTTTATGCTCCGCCTGGATAAGGTCTACGAGGAGCAACAGAGCCGCGACCAGACCGCAGTACCTCGCCTCTCGATGACCACGTTGTTGCAACAATACAAGCGCACCGAACGCCGCCTCTTCATCCTTGACTTCGAGGGAACCCTTGTCAGCTGGGGACCAGTCAACCAAATCATTCCGGTCAGCCCTCAACGCACCCTCGACGTTCTGAACGATCTTCTTCTCGATGAGCGTAACACTATTTATGTTATGTCTGGTAGACGTCCGGAGGAGCTTGACCGGATTTTCCGCCGCGTTCCGAACCTCGGCCTGATCGCCGAAAGCGGATGCTACCTCAAGGATTGCGGAAGCGACACCTGGACCGAAATGGCCGATGCCAACAAGGTCCGCTCTTGGAAGAGTTCACTCCAGGACATTATGACCTACTACTTGGAGCGCACGCCGGGAGCGGCGATCGAGGAACGTCGTTGCTCCTTGGTGTTCCACTACAAGTCTGCGGACGATTACGACATGGCTGCTACCCAGGCTTCCGACCTTGCTAGTCACATCAACGACGCCTGCGAAGAGCAACGTGTGCACGCTATTCCCATGGACGGTTGTGTGCTTGTTGAGCCCATAGATTGGACCAAGAGCACTGCGGCTGAGAGGATCTTCAGTGATTTGCAAAAGCGAATGGGACCCGATGAGAAGCACAAATCGCCGGTCGACTTCCTCATGGTTGTTGGCGACGGTCGTGACGATGAGAAGGTCTTCAAGTGGGCCAACCAGATGGCTACGGACGAAACAGTCAAGGTACAGGAGGTGGTGACTGTCAGCCTTGGCAATAGAGCCACTGAGGCTAAGGCAACGTTGACCCAGGGCGTTAATGGTAAGCAGATCTCTTCTCATTCCTTCGGTGGATATTCCATTCACTAACTCGGTTTGTAGGCGTCCTGACGGCTCTCCAGAAGCTGTCCCAAGTCGTGTAAGCAGTAGCCTTCTCTTCAAGGCCACATTTACCGACTCAATGATATATAGGGTTCCTACCGAGCATCAGCGTCGGAGAAGTTCTCTATCTGTTCCCCCCTCAACCAATATGTGAGCAATCCGGGCGTTGCTTGTTTGCTTTGCTGCAGCATCCCCTTTTTGCGTGGCGTTTTGCGTTGGAGTTTTTGACATTCGCATTGCGAGCTCTTTCCAGCATGGGGGGGTGCCTCCTTTGCCTTGTCACCTTTATGATTTGTTTTCTTCTCTTTTACATTTTCGACAAGATTTGTTACAGCACCACACAGAAATGCATCGATGTGCCCTGCGATTTGCGATCACCAAGCACCGCATGGCAATATCTGAAAGCTAAGGGAACTCGTTTAGCAACAGCAACGACACGGTCTTGACGAACACTACAACGGGCGACGGTGCACATGGTGGCGGTTCTCTTTCTTTTACGGCAACGATGACGGCTGGCATGGAAAGCATGGGATTATGGGAAACGGAAAATCGGGCGCATCATGATCATTTCTTACAATGCACCACAAGGTAGTATATATATATAGAGGAAGGTAGCCAGGCGTCGCCGGCAAGATTCATTGGTTTCACATAAAAAAGTTGTCTCATGTCGATGTTGAAAAAATGGTGACACGCATTGAAACTGAATGCAAATCCATAAACCAGATTTATCTCAGCGTAATGTCGTATTGACCATACATGTGAGCGTGTGACAAAGAGCAAGTTAAAGTGACCTGATGTATGAATGAACGTAATAGACGCGTATTGTACTATATACCAGGCGTGCCTTTCTTTGTAAAGACCACATGCTCTTGTCCATGCTCCGTCGTACGATCTGTTCACTTCCCTTATCCCAATCCCATGTGTCAACGCTCACTGCCCATCTCTAGGAGAAAGAAAAAAAAACTCGGCGATAGAAACAAACCTCGCGATGGCTTCGATGGCATCACTTCCCCAGGACTGTCCACATCTTTGTTGTTCAAAAGACAGCCATCCCCCTACCTCCCACTGCAGGGTGTGCGGGGCAGGCAAGAGACATGGCGGGGCAGTAAGCTGTGTCATCAATTCAAACCCCTGTCTGCCTTCGGCAACGATATCGGCGTCCATTTACACGTCGTGCTCATATACACAGTAGTAGCCGGCTTTGATGCAATGCATTTCGGCCGTATATCGGAGGGCCACAGGACCGTTTAGGAACCTCGAGGACTGGGATGACTGTTGCCTTTCTTTGCCTTCTTTTTGTAGTTTGAGCAAATCTTGAAGACGTTGAATTCAAAACTGCAAAGTGTCAGTAATATAGAAGGCACCATATCGAATTTGAAAGCTGTAGGTGATTTACTTCCCCCGCGTTTTTCATTATTGCGGTTCATCTGAGGAATAACTTCCTGCTATTGTTCGCGTCGCACAAAGACTTGAACTTTTTTCTCAGACTTTATTTCACGATCTTGCAACTTTTCCACCTCCTCTCTTTTACCTGACAGGAGCTGACCAAGAATCATCACCAGAAGCTCAGAACAGTTGACGAGAACAACCAAAGGCACAGCCACTACGGAAAAGCACTACAATAATATCGGCACCATGGCACCGTTCCCTCCTCCTCCGGTCACCTCGATCGACTGGTCCAACGTCGGCTTCAAAGTTCGTGAAGGTGGGTAGGAGCTACTTCGAGTCCCGAGTCCCTGCATTTTCTGTGACGGCGCAGGTGCCCTTCTACACCTACACCTCTTCTACGACCATCCATATCGATTTCCGTTAGGTTGGACGGAGGGATATAATGACGCCAATACTCGTTAGGACCAAAGACGTCCGTACAGCATTCACCGTTCGGAGGGAAGAACAGACGAGTCTGGTCCTGACGAGTAGTATCCCAAGAACTAAGCGTAACACGAAACAGTTTCAATATTAACCGCTCCTCACCTTGACAGTAAACGGCCACATCGAATCCTCCTACTCCGTCAAAACAGGCAAATGGTCGCCCCTCCGCTTCGTCACCGACCCCTACATCCGCATGCACGGCATGGCGCCCGCCCTCAACTACGGCCAACAAGCCTACGAGGGTCTCAAGGCTTTCCGTCTTCCCGGCAACGACTCGATCGCCATCTTCCGCGCCGACAAGAACGCCAAGCGAATGCAGCACAGCGCCGAGTTCATCAGCATCCCGCCCCCGCCCGTCGACCTCTTCGTCGACGCCGTCAAGGCCGCTGTCGCGCTGAACGCCGAGTTCGTCCCGCCTCACGAGACGGGCGCGGCTTTGTACATCCGTCCCCAGATCTTCGGTAGCTCGGCCCAGCTCGGCCTCAGCCCGCCGGAGGAGTACCTCTTTTCGGTATTCGTCATCCCCACGGGTGTCTACCACGGCACGCACCCCGTCAAGGCGCTGATTCTGGAGGACTTTGACCGTGCCGCGCCCAACGGGACGGGCAGTGCCAAGGTTGGAGGCAACTATGCGCCTGTGTTGCGCCATAGTGACAAGGCTAGAAGGGAGGGGTATGACATTACCCTCCACTTGGACAGCGCCAGACACGAGGAGGTCGACGAATTTAGCACTAGCGGATTCATCGGTGTGATTCGTGGCGAGGGAGGAGAAGATGATGTTACTGTTGTTGTTCCGAGCAGCAAGGCCGTGATTGATAGTGTCACGAGCGATAGCATCCAGGAGATTGCTAGGAGCTTTGAGTGGAAGGTTGAGAAGCGTGCGGTAAGTGGTTCCTTTTTGTTTACTCTGATAGCTCGGACTTGTGTTCGGTGATGACAACATGGTGCCAAGATCAGATCGGAGACCTAGGAGTGGTGGACTTGGAAGCACCGCTTCCAGATCCGAGCCGGAAATGCGTGCGACGGAGGCATCCTCTACCTCTACCTAGGTTCAGGCCTGGGTAGCATACCCTTACCTACCAAACTTGGACCTACCTACCTGATGACATTACCGGAGCACGACTGCCGAAGGGAAGGAGTGTTCCACAACAGTCGGAGATATTTCTCTCCAGTCCCATGGGTCTCAGCCGAGTATCTGGATCGCAGTGCAGTGGGTGTCAGTTCACTAACACCCTGTTTTACCACCCAACACAGATCAAGTACTCCGAACTCCCCTCCTTCTCCGAAGTTATGGCCGCCGGAACGGCCGCCGCTCTCGTCCCGATTACGCTCCATCACCAGACGCGTCAAGTCGTCATCTCCCCAGTCCCTCGCTTCCTCCAGCGCTACCAAGGAGAACGCTCGCGTCTCCTTCAACAAGGAGGCCGAAGAGGAGACCGTCACTTACCTCGCTGAGAGCGTGGAGGATGCTGGCGACATCTGCCTAAAGTTGCTTTCCCAGCTTAAGGGGATCCAGTTGGGCAAGATCGAGGACAAGTTCGGCTGGCGCTTTGTGGTCACCGAAGAAGACGGAAAGAAAGCGGAGGGCGCGGAGAAGGCTCGTGCTAGTGAGGGGAAGGGCACGGAGGCCCAGACTGTTGACCAGATGGACTAGAAGACTTCCTTAGCTGGGGTGTACATGGGTTTCCTTGGGGTATGGCCTAGAGGCACGTGTAGGATGGATAGCAAGATGGCAGCATCCGATGCACCTCACATGTATTGTCGCTTCAATGGGGGCTCTGCAAAATGATGTTAGGTGTAAAGTCAGCGTGAAAGACAAAAGTTGTGCTACCAAGATAGGGTGGGCTTCCCAGATTCGCGACTGTCCTTTTTCTTCTCTCCTTTCTTTCTTGTCACTCGTACTGGACTGGAGGCTGTGGACTGGAGCGGGTTTTCAGGGTCGCGTGTGGCATGATGTGCCTCGGTCTCAATCGGGACAGCGTCAGACCACCATTTTCGCATCAAAGGCCGGAGACACCGGTATAAATGGAAGAAGTTGCCTCCACAAGTTTGGGGCTGTGCAAAATCAATCGGATTTGATATCGTGAATCTTTCTCAATGGATGTACCTACATGACAAGAAAACGTCAAAAGCTTCCCCGCAACAGACAGCAAGAGGGGAAAGCGCCTAGAGCGCCCAGGTCGGGGAAGGATGGCCGGGGACGATTCAAGGGGGTAGGCGGCGTTTGTGGGTGGGTGGGGACGGCCACCAAGCGTTAACAAGCAATCTTGGCGAAACAACCTTATTTCGATGTCACTCCTTGGAGCGAACAACACCAAAGGATACTTTCACGATATTGGTCTTTCACTCGTTCAGCGACGAAATGTGATGCTTCTTGTTTTTGACGTGAACTCGTTTTCGCTTTCTGTCAGCAGGCAAAGCGCTGCTGGTCTGTCTTTTCTCTGGCTTTCACCCCACCAGGCACCTGCCACGACGGGACCCTCCCCTCCTCCAGATCCTACCGGTCTCCTCACCTCCTTCCTTCTATTGAAAGGAATTCCGGATTTGGACCTCTGCCTGCACTTGCACTGTTGCACGCCCTAACGAAGCGAGATGTCGGAGTTAGCCCCAACCAGTCACGTTCCATCGCTCCATGAATCTGACACTGGAAGTTGAGCCGCTCGCCGCGCGATTTTTCTGTTTCCCGCTTGTTTCAATCAACCGAGGTCATCGTTCCTATTCTGCATGTTCACATCACCCACTCCTAATCCTGACCGACAAAGGAACCGGGGTGGGAGGAGAGAGGAGGCCTCCCGGAGAGTTCCTTTTTGCAGGTTTCCATCCATCCAACATGACCACCATCCGTCCATTCAACCCACGTGCTACTACCGTGTCGGGAAAACTCGAAGGATTTCAATAGAGCGGGTGGCAGTGCTGATGCAACTGATGCAAAATGCAAATGGGAATGAATGCACTGTTGCAGATCAAGGGACCAAGGACGGGACACTCACCAGATAAGCTTCACACACACATGCAAGCTGGTTCTTCCAATGCCGTGTTGAAGCAGGACAAGAACCCGGGTTGCAACGGGAATGTTGCAGTCAGTCCAAGAGGTTGAGGACCTCATCCAGCACGATGGTACCTATGGATGGGTAGCAGCGACTGGGGGAGATACAATGGGTAGGTATCCAGCGGGATGGATGGGATGAACGTCGACAACGGAAAACTTGTCATCGTGTGAACAGGTTGCAATCTTGCTTCCTTTCCGGCTTCCAACATGGACGGGCAGTCTCGTGCTCGAGTCTCATCTCTTGTGTTCTCGGGTCTCGTATCCAGTGCAGCGAGCTGGAGCTTGGTTGAGGGAGCTCGGAGCTACCCCTCCACGGTCTTATTACCTCCTTCACGAGGTGGATGTTTCGGGATGCCTATTCTGGACATGTCAGTGAATGGAATGGAATGTGGTTGGGCTGTGGGTTTTGCTGCCTGCGTGGAGGGTCCTGGCCCGTCTGTTCGCGGGATGGATGTGCTGGTCTGCGTGTCTGCTTGTCTCCCGTTGGCATCACGCCGAAGGCCTTTGGCGTGAATGGGCCCTGCCATCATTCATCCCATGTCTACCTTACCTGTTGCTTGGGCTACCGCACCCCTTCACCCACCTACATCTCTCGCTGGTCAAATCCACGCTGTTGTCGTGCGACTTCCTTCACGAACTATCTCTTTCTCTCATCAATCACCAGACCGTGCACCACTCAGTGGGGTGCAGTGAACCCATGGCCCAGGCTCAGTGACCCAGGCTCATGTTCAGACTCAAGATGCGTTATTGCTTCATGCATGCATCATGCTCACTCACTGCAGAAGCTTCCAGTTCATCACAGCACACAGCTGCTCCTGTGTTCGTCTGCTGTGTTTCGGGACCCGTGAGGAAAGAAAAAAGCCATCTCCCAAGCGCGAGAGGCTTGCCATTCTCATCTCACCACCACCACATGCAATCCCGAAAAAAAGAGGCGTTTCACAATACCACGAATATCCGGCTTTGATATCCCTGTCGATCGATACCTCTACCCTGTCTTGTGCGCCCCCCACGACGACCAGACAGCCACCACCCCTACCCCCTAGCTTCGTCGAGCTTACCTACCTCTAGACTGGCCGGCCGCTCAGGCTAGCTTTATCGAGCACTCCATCTACTGGTACACGGTAGTAGAGAGCTTATCGCTTCTCGAAGATTGGACCGGACTGGACCAAACTGACCGAGTGTTGCCGCAGCGGTCCGGGGTCGGTTTCTCGACATACCTGGGTACAGTGAGAGAATGGCAGGCTTCGACGGGAGTGTCTCCCTCGTGGCGGGACTGGTTGGCATCATTTTCTTGGTCTTTCTGACGCCCGATACAAGCCAGGCCAGGATATATAACCGGCCGAGGGAGCTCGATGTTGCATCCCAGGGCTTGTTGGACGAAGAGTAGGATCTCCTGCTTTTTGAGTCTCTTTGTTCCGGTGGTGGTGCTTCCACCCAGGCCTATTCTGCTTTTACTACTACCGTACGCTTCTCTTTTTCTCTCCATCCAGCCAGCCATCCACCTCATCCGGGTCGTTTACATTTTAAACGCTTTCGACGGTTTGACTTCACATCTCTCTTCATCCTTCTTTCCATCCTTCACCTCCTTACGCCTCTACTCCTCTTCTGCCATCCCGGAAGCACACCCCAAACTTTGGCCATGGACAACAACATACCTCAACCCAACGCCCCAAAGGCGACCATCAGGATCGAAGAACCCTCTTTCCCAAAAGAAACCGACGATCCCGACCTAAGTCAGCGGGCGCCCCAAACCACCGGGCACGCAACCGGCATCTCAACCGGCATAAACTTTCGCTCGCGCGGCAGCTCCCTGTCCAGCTCTCACCGGCCCGAACTAGTCGGCGGCGTATTCAACCCTCGCAGCATCATCTCTCGCGGGAAAAGACCGGCCGATAGCCGGTCGTCTCATGATGGCGCCGCCTCGCACTCGCATCTTGATATCGAGGAGGGCGATGATTGGCGTGGTGGACACGAGAAGAAGAAGCAGGTGTTTAAAGGAAGGACGCTGTTGTGGTTGGCTTATCAATCTGTTGGTGTGATTTATGGCGATATTGGGACGAGGTTAGTTGCATTGACCCTTTTTTTACCTAGTGTGTTGACCTACCTGTTCATGCCGATCTAACCATCTCGTGTTTTTTGTGCAGTCCGCTTTACGTGTTCTCGTCGACATTCACTGCACCGCCCTCGCACGCCGATTTGCTCCAGGTTCTTTCGGTTATTATTTGGTCCATCACCATTCTCGTCACGTTCAAGTACATCTTTGTCATTTTGCATGCGGATAATGAGGGCGAGGGCGGCACCTTTAGCTGTTACTCGTTGCTTACCCGGTTTGTAAGTGCAGCCTTTTTTCCCCCTGCAACTCCGTGCTGGCAATTTTCCGGGCGCTAACAGATGCAGGCCAACATCACTGAGCGCGACCCGCGAGAACAAGTGACCGTCCGGATGGAGAGACATCTAACCAATGACCTTCACCCCCCTACACGCAATTTGCGCGCCAAACTCGAAGGAAGCAGGTTCACCCATATTCTTCTCAAAGTCATTGGCGTCCTGGCCGTATCCATGGTCATGTCTGACGGTGTCCTTACTCCGGCTCAGTCTGTCCTCGGTGCCGTTCAGGGATTGTCCGTCGTGAAGCCTGATATCTCCAAATCCACCGTCACTGGCACAACATGCGGCATCCTCGTCCTCCTCTTCCTGATCCAACCACTCGGCACATCTAAGCTTGCCACCACGTTTGCGCCCATCGTTATCGTCTGGCTGGGCTTGAACTTTTCTTTTGGCATCTACAACTTGGTCACATTCGACTGGACGGTCTTGAAGGCTTTCAGTCCCTATTTCGCCTTCCAGTTTTTCATCCAGCACAAAACGCGCGCTTGGAGGATGCTTGGTGGTGTTCTTCTGTCCTTCACAGGCGTCGAGGCACTCTTCGCCGACTTGGGAGCCTTCAGTCTCCGGGCCATCCAACTCAGCTGGATGTGCTACACCTACCCATGTCTGCTGCTAGCATACATCGGACAAGCGGCCTACATCAGCCATCACCCGGACGCCTACACGAACCCCTTCTTCAACGCGACGCCTCCTGGAACCCTGTACCCAAGTCTGGTCATTGCCATTCTTGCTGCCATAGTAGCCAGCCAAGCCATGATCACGGCAACCTTCCAGCTCATCAGTCAGATCATGAAGCTTTCCTACTGCCCCCAGGTCAAAGTCGTGCACACCTCGCAGACCTTCCACGGGCAAATCTACGTTCCTTTTGTCAACTGGCTGCTCATGCTGGGCGCCATCCTTGTCACTGCCGTTTACGGAGACACCGTCAAGCTAGGAAATGCCTACGGCGTGTGCGTCATGTTTGTCACCTTCTTCGACACCTGCATGGTCACGCTCGTCTCTCTCATTGTCTGGAGGCTGTCGCCTTTCCTTGTGTTCGTCCCCTGGCTTGTGTTCGCTTCCGTCGATGGGCTCTACCTCTCGGCCGCCTTGATCAAGGTCCCCGAAGGGGCTTGGTTTACCCTCACGCTCTCCGGCATCCTAACCTCGCTGTTTTTGCTTTGGCGTTTTGGCAAGGAGAACCAGTGGCGCGCCGAGGCCGAAGACCGGTTCAAGCCGTCCCATCTCATTATAAAAGACAAAGAGGAGGGTGGTCGTCTACGGCTGCAGCCAGTATGGGGAGGCGACCCGCTCAGCTCGATCCGCGGATTTGGTATCTTCTTCGACAAGACGGGTGTGATGACGCCTGCGGTGTTCACGCACTACGTGACCAAATTTGTCGCGATTCCGGAAGTGGCCGTATTTTTCCACCTGCATCCCGTCGAGGTGCCGACGGTGTTGCCAGAGGAGCGGTATGCTGTCTCGCATTTCACGGCGGTGCCAGGGTGTTATAGGCTGGTGATCAAGCATGGCTTCATGGATGAGGTGATAAGTCCTGACTTGGCGGCCTTGATCTACGAACAAATCAGACGGTTTGTGATAAGGCAGGCTATCGAAAGGGCGAGAGCTTTAGAGAAGTTGAGGACGGGTGAAGATACGGACTGCGAAGGGGAGGGGGAGGCCACAGAGGGGGAGACTTCGCATCAAGAGAATCGTCAGGGGCATCGGGTCCTGATGGCGTGCAACTCCCCGTCGAGCTCCGCGATGAAAAGGCAGCGGCAGAACTGGCTCGTCTTGATCGCGCGTATGCTTCCAAGATTCTGTACGTGGTTGGCAAGGAGCAGATGCGGATCAAGACCGGTGCGCCAATTGCTCGGAGGTTCCTGTTGTCGGTGTTCTTGTGGATCAGGGACAACACGCGGGCCAAGATTGCAAATTTGCGCTTGGCCATGGATCGCGTGGTTGAAGTGGGCTTTGTCAAGGAGATTTGAAGGGATGATTTGCAACATGTTCGGCCTTGGTCCTGTGTCTTCGGACCCGAATTCTATCCATTTCCCGTAGCGGATTGGAACGACGGACGGGATGAGTGGAGGTGGGAAATGGAGGATTCATCAAGTTCAGTTGTTGCACAGCAACAAGTGTAAGGCATCAGTTCTTCACCTGGGAACGGAGAGGAAGGTACGAATGCATCATGTCTTTTGAGGTCTCTGAATTCTAGGAAGGCGCATAGAGCAGACCTTCCAACGCACACCGCAAAGTTGACTGAACCAATGAACCAGGAGCTCCTTCCTCGTCCGCTCCTTCCTAGCCCACTCCTTCCTCCGTCTCGCGCCGTACGTCGTTGTATTTCTCATAATTTCCATCATGATGTGGCAGGGTCAATGGCAGCGTCAACTTGCACCCGCCTTCGAGGTCCCAACTGGAGACGCGCTTTGCAGGCCCCCATCTTTGCACTTTCTCCAGATTCTCCCGCGACCGTCAACACTCACACTCACATCAATAAGGTAATCTCCAGGTCCCTTCGCCTTCATTTGTACTCACTTTGTTGTCGTATCGCCAACTTCTTCATCTCGCCTTCCCAACTCAGGACGCCTTTCTCGCCGTCGCACTTTCTAGAAATTGCCCACCAAGTGCGAACAACCACTGCGAGCACCTCTAACTCCCTTTCAGGTTTTTCTTACTCGGTTGCAGCAGCATAAACTTCACCCCACGCGATTCCATCGCAGTTTCACCAACCATATCGAGCACCGTTAACCTCCTTTGCTCTTGCTCTGATACGTCTACATCAAGACGATCCGACGCCATGGAGGAAGGCTTCCAAGCACACCAGACTCGGTTTCCGCGCTCGCAGTCTGATGGCTGGCGAAGGAGAGCCATGTCGGGTGCTACCACCGGAGGCGAGCAACGCCGTCAAGCCTCCACCACAGAACCAGCGCGTCCAAATAATGGTTTCATCAAACCCAGCCAGCTTCTCCATAGCACGGCCCCTGGATCATTCCGACCTCCACAGATGCCACTTTATTACACTCCCGCCCAGTACGACTGGCAAGATCCTATAGGGAGGCAGATTCCGCCCGGGTACCCTCTTTCGCCCCTGTACCAGAGTCATGAGCGCCAAATGCCTGCTACCCATGGTATGACATCAAGTCCAGAATCAAGTCTATCCAAGCAGGAAAGTAGTGGCAATGAGCTAACTCCTAAATGACAGACAACCACACCGTGAACCGTGACCAGGGAAATCTTCCCTTCCACTCGGTCGACACCCGCCTCCCCCATACACCCCTCTCCAATTCCTTTGCCTTCGGCTATACTCCCGGGTATGGCGCCAAGCCCAACCTTTATCCCAGTTCAGACGGGAACGCCGTGGTGGCGGGTTACCCATACCCTGCTTTCGAAAACATCACGGCCACGAGAGCTTGGGCTTCTGGACCAGAATCCCCACAGCCCATGACCCCACGTCGTATTTTCGAAAGCCCGGCAATTGAGGAAAGGCCAAGAAGAGATATCTCCAGTTCCCCTAACTTTGACGACTCTTCAGCTGCGAGCTCTACCGCCGCCCATGGTGGACATCGACTGAGACCGTCACCGCCAAGCGGGCCTGCCAGCACGAGTACACGCTCCAATATGGGTGCACGACGGAACAGTCCAAGAACGCCGAGTCAACAAAGGGTAGTACACTCTACGGCAATTGCCTCCAGCTCGTCTTCTTATCATTACGGCAGGGGAGAGCAACAAGGAAGTGATCGTGGCACAGGGCCCCCCAGAACGAGCTACTCAAAGCCGGCTGCTCCCAGTTTCTACACGCAGTCCCCCGTCTCGATGGCTTCCTCCCCAGCAAAGTCTCAACAAGACACCTACGGCTCATTTCACGATCGCGTCACCAAGAGTCGTGCAATGAGCACGAGATCAACCTTGCTTACGCCTGTCTTGAGTGACTCCGAGTCCGACTCAGATACTCAAGGGCAATTGGAGTCGCATCTCAAAAACACGCGCTGCATCCTTTCACGCGATGGTCCCACGACTCCATCAAGCGCATTAGCTCCCAAAACAACAGCTCCAACCGTTAGCTCGGAGGAAAGAGATCATGTGGTCTGCGCCGTGTCAGAGAGTCGCTCTGCAGAAGTGGTTGGCATTGCAGTCATCAATATTACTGCCGGACAAGTGGATTTAGCCACCATCCTTAACGATGAAAAGCACATGTACCAGCGACTTGGAGATACGTTGTGGAAGTTGGCATCAAAACCGGAAAAGTTCCTCGTTGTCAACAGCGTCACCAAGGACAGCAGCAAGTCTATGCTCATTTCTTGTCTAGAGCAAGACTTCCCAGAAGTCCCCATAGTGGTTTGGGGAAGGAAACATTGGAACGAGGCAGAAGGGCTCAGGATGATTGAGCGTTTTGCACTTCGGGATCAAATCATATCCGTCAGGTCAGATCTTGAGAACAACTTCTACACTCCGTGCGCCTTTTCTGCTGTAAGTGATCGGGTTCATTGTGGAGATAGATCAGTGGCTAACAATATCAAGGCAATGAAGTATGTACAGAACGAGCTGAACATCCATTTTGCCAGCAACGCCCTACGAATCAGGTGCATTCAGCCACTCAACACGATGGGTATAGACCGCACCACCGCTGCCTCGTTAGAGCTGCTGCAGAACACACGACGAGCTACCGCAAAGATGTCGACGCTGTTTGGTATACTGAACAGTACGCTAACTCCTCAAGGACACCGCTTGCTACGCACAACCCTCCTGCAGCCGAGTACAGACAAGGAAGAGATCATAGAACGGTATGAATCAGTAGAGGAATTGTCTACAAACAAAGAGCTTTTTGGCAAGTTGCGCAAAGCACTCAAAGAACTTGACCGGACTGACTTTGAACGCGTCATTGTATGGGTAAGTTGCTTTCAGCACTCTGCAGTCCTTCCCGTATGCTAATGCTTTCAAAGATTAACCAGAAACAACCCAATCCACGCCAGCCTCTGGAAGAAGGTCTTCCTGCAATTACGAATCAGGGCCCGACCCTGCCCACCCACGCAGAGCTTACCAAAGCGGAACAGGAGCTGAATAACATGCTAATGCTAAAGGCATATATTCGTGGTATCGACGCATTGCATGATATTTTTGTGGCTGCTGAGTGCAGAAGCCACCTATTGAGATGGACCAAGGATAAATTTGCGCCGGAGCATACTGAGCCCATCCAAGGCGCCTTGGAGGAGACGATCGAACAGGATGCCAGGTATAGCAAGAGGCCAATCGATGTGAGAAACAATCGGATATGGGCCGTCAAAGTCAGTCCTGTTTTCCTGTTTTTTGAGTTGCGTTCACGGTGCTAACAGTTGGTCAGGCTGAGCGAAATGCTGTTCTTCAACGAGCACGGAGCTCATACAAAAAGCTCACGGATGATATCAACAAATACTTTGATGAGATGAACAACCAGTTCACCCGTAGGTCAATTCCCCTGCACGAAGGTTGGGCATCACTGACGCAGCTCAGAGACATTGGGAAATGGTGCAGAGTTGTACATGGACAGCAACCGGCGATATTGCATTAAGTTCGACTACTCTGATGTCGCACGTGAACTGGCGCACGTCAAATCCAACAAGCAAGTTTCCATCGCCGGCGTCGACGTTGTCAACGGTACCCGTGACAAAACGCATTTCAAATGCACGACAGCCGAGCTTCTCAAGAGGAGCCGGGCGATTCAGGGCCAGGCAGACGTAGCGACCATGCAGAGCGACAGTGTGATTATCGACCTGAAGAAGAGGCTCCAGGAGCATTCAAGTCTCATGTTCGATATCAGCGATGCTGTTGCGCTGCTCGATATGCTCTGCTCATTTACACAAGCCGCCACCACCAAGAATTATTCCCGGCCCATGATCACTGACAGCATGGTCCTGAAGGAGGCACGGAATCCAATTGTGGAGTTACGAAAGAACAACTACCATGCGAACGACGTCTATTCTGGTGATCAATCCAAGCGCTTCCAGGTCATCACTGGCGGTAACATGAGCGGTAAAAGCACGTTTATCAGATCGGTTGCCCTTATTCAAATCATGGCACAGATGGGGTCATTTGTTCCTGCGCAATTTGCCTCGGTTTCCATCTGTGATAGGATATTTGCAAGAGTCTCAACGGATGATGCGCCTGAGAACAACCTGGGAGCATTTGGTGTGGAGATGAGGGAGACGAATGTCATCTTGCGGTATGTTTCCCTCCCAAACAAGCCCATGGTAAGAATAAACTGACAGAATATCTAGGCAAGCTACAGAGAAGAGCATGGTTATTATGGACGAGCTCGGGCGGGGCACTTCGCCAGGAGATGGTATGGCCCTCGCCGCTGCTGTCAGCGAGAGGTTGATTAGTATAAACCCGCGCGTTTTCTTCGCAACGCATCTCACGGCTCTTGGTAAGCTCGGTGAAGCCTTATCCTGTTGTTCGCCGCTAACAAAATTCGTAACAGCTCGACTCTTGAACAGACGCTATCAGAGAGATGTCATGACCATGAGCGTCCACCTCCAAGTACGAATCCAAACGGGCGGTGAAAATGGCACCCAAATCATACTGCCGCATACTCTCGCCGCAGGTCCCGTGCAGAACGAGGACTACGGCATCGAACTAGCCCGACTTGTTCTTACTGGACCGGTAGTGGACAAAGCCGAGGACATTCTGAAAGTCTTGCGCGACAATCAGAGGCGAGCGCGGAGGGAGAAAAAGCAGAGGACGCTAGACAGAACAGGCTACTCCTGGCTGTGCATGGTTTAACCAGAGAAGCCATTGACTTTATCATGAGCGATGCGGCCTTCGCGTCGTACATCTGCAGGTTGAGGAATGAGTTTACACTTACGATGTATGCTCACGAGGAGGAAGAATATATTGACGGCGCCGTTGAGGTTCGTCCTGTAGAAGTTGACGAGGCTATTGAAGGTGGCCAACTTGGTCAGAAGCGGTCTGCTGAGGATGATACCGAAACCGAGAGTGGCACCGGAGATGAAGGCAGAGAAAAGCGAAGGAGGGAAGATTAGGTTACGGAGATGATCGATAGAAATTTCTGCAATTGATAGCTATGTTCTGCAATGTGAAAGGTCTATGAGTCTGGCCATCTTCATAATCGGGAGTCATGTCTGCAACGTGTAAGGTATATACAACAATAACAGCACACCCTTATGGACAGAAAGATTCCGTGATAAAAATATAGTGTACGTTTCTCATATCTCATGTCTAAAAAAACGAAAACAAACTAAACAACGCCAGCCCGACGACCCAGAACCAAACAGAACCAAAAGAAACCAGTGCAACGACAACGTGCTAAGACAGGAAGCGACAGCAACAGCGGTATGGGATACAAACAACATCCCCCTTTTCCCTTTTTCTTCATCAATCAACAATCAATCATCCCCTTTTCTCAAAAAAAATATCAAACCCCGTCTCTCCAAATATGGGTATCACCAAGACTAGCCGCGCTCGAAGATCCGTTACTCCTCGGCGTGTCAGCCGGAGCCCCCCTAGGCGTTCTTTCTCCCGAGTACATGTCCCCGCCTAATAGGTCTGCATAAGTACCACCAGCGGTATCTGCGCGGCTCTGCGAACTACCGCGGGAAGTCTCGACGCGGAGGCCGTTGGCGTTGCGAGTGGATCGACGACGAGAGCCGGAGAAAAGGTCCGACTCCTCGTCGGTGTAGCGGTCTTCCAAGAGACCGGAAAGGCCGGAGGAAGGGGAGGGAAGTGGTGGGGAGTCTTTGTAGATCCAAGGTTGTTCGAGCCTGTGTTTTTGTTGTGTGAAATGTTAATTATCTGAACAATGGAAAAGAAGAAAAGAAGATGCGGGGAGGAAATTGGAAAAAAAAGAGACTTACGGCTTCACAAGATTCGGATTAACAAACCTCGCCCCCTTCTCCTTGTCTTCATCGACTGTACTGCCCCTCCTAATTCTTTCCCTAGTCTCCTCTCCTTCGCCATCGAGATCCTCATCCAGAATCGCGTTCCCGCCCTCGTCCTCGCCGCGCTTGATACTCCGCAGCGAAATGAACTTGGTCAGCGGCTCAAAGTGGCGACGGAACGAGTACCCGTACCAGACTGTGATGAATAGCAGCGGGGAGATCAAAAGCGCGACGGTGAACGCCTTGCGCAAGGCCAGGTAGCCGGACATGGTCAGCTGGAAGACCAGCAGGCCGAGCATGATGCGGTAGCAGATCATGTTCCAGGCGCCGCCGGTGGCGTGCTGCGGCTGCTCCATGGCGTAGAGGAGCTGGTACTTGTAGGTAAAGTAGCCGAGGGTGAAGTAGGCGACACCGAGGCCGACAACCTTGTAGCCTTGGGGAAGGGTGCTGTAGACGAGGCAGAGGATGAAGACCAGCAGGGCTGTGGGGAGGTAGAAGCCGTAGTAGAACATGGGCGGGCGAACGATCTGGGCGAAATCGCGCGGGGTCTTGGCGCCCATGCGGTTGATGGGGTAGAGGGAGACGCTGCCGAACTGAAGCAGGCGGAAGGGAAAAAGGCCGATACCCTGAAGCATGATGAAGTTGGTGTAGAAGACACCGAGGTCTACGATCTTGCCGGCCAGGGCGTAGGCGATGTACGTGGTGTCTTTCAGGCTTTCGCGCAGCACATCGATGATAGAGGTGACGGCGCCGAAGACGGTGAAGATGAGGAAAATGTTGAAGAAGGTGAAGAAGAAGTTCTTGCTGATGACGGAGAGGGCGGCATCACCGCGTGACAGCATGCCCTGCTGGAACGAGAGGTAGTCGTACAAGTACGGAACCGCAACGTTGAGCAACGACACGACGGCCGTGGGGAGACCTGTCTGGACCAGCGCTCTGGCGAGGTCATATTGCTTGAGCCACCCCGCGAATCTTGGGAGGTAATGCTCGATGGTGCAAATGCTCAAGAAAGAGGCCATGAAGGCAACCGGGACAAGCCATACAACGGTGAGGAAACAGACGAAGAGCGTGACAGCAACGGATCGCACGCGTCTGGTCAGGTGCGATGCGTAGGTGTTCCTCCAGTCAATATCGGATGGCGCAGGGGCGGGTTTTGTTAGCAACTGGCCAGGATGGGGGTCAATGAGCGCCTGAATCGCCATTTGACAGGCTGCAATAGAGTCCATGGTCACGAAAGCAAGGTCGGTCGGCTCAAAGTCCTTTTTCCTGGCGGCACGAATCTTGTCATCCAAGACACGCAGCTTCTCCGTGTAGTAATCAATAGCGTCGGTCTTGCGGCTCTGCAAGTGGAGAAAGCCGTACCAAAACCTAGTTTGAGGTCGCGGCCTTTGGCTCGACATGAGATCGGAAGTGGTGTTGCCGTTGCTCAGAAGACGACCTGTGTCGCCCGCTTCCTCATCCTCAAGGTCTGGGATAAGAGGACTGTTCTCAATATCTCCATTAGGAGCCGGATTTGGGGGAGGAGGACCCCTAGCTAGTTGGACCGGTTTCTGGCCCAAGTAAGCCGTCCAGGTCTCCTCTAGCTTGGCGAGGATAGACTGCCGCTGGTCCATCAAATCGTCCAGCTTTTTCCACTTCCTGCACAGAGTGACGCTTTTGACCTTGCCAATTTCCAATCTCTCGACCAGATTCTTAATATCCTCCTCTGTGCGCAGATCCTTGGGAATCCCAGCCAAGCGGAAGGTCCGGTCAGTGATGGTGGATTGTGTTCCAAGGTAATCCTGGCGCACTCGGAGAACCTTGAAGGTCTCGCGATTCATAAAGAACAGCGTAAGACCGGTAAAGAAGTAGGTGAAGACGAGGTAGGACCACAGGTAGCGCTTGTTCTTTTTGAAACTGTCATCAGGCTGATCGGGGTCGTCCTCGTAGAGGGTGGTGTGGCCGTATGGTGAGGTATACTGGCGAAAGGTTTCGGTGGCGGGGACCTCTGACGTGTTGAGGTCATCGGGAAAAGCCCGGTTGATGGGCTCAAGAACGGCCAGGGCGAAGAAGAAGACGATGGCGAACAGCTTCATGGCCATCTTGAAGAAGTTGAGGAAGACAAAGGCGTCGAGGCCAGCCGAGGCGAGGACCTGCTGCTCCGTGACGCGATATAGGGCGCCCATCCATCCGAAGAAGGTATCTGGGAGTTGAGGAAGGGCGATGGAGGGGTCGGCCATGGACGCCCTCTTTCGCGAAGCGTAAAGGGACTTCCATCGTGGTCGGAGGGCCTGGATATTGGGAGATGTAGGTTAGTGGGTGATGCTATGACACCTTGATGAGCTCGGGTATATAGCCACTTACACAGAAAGATAGAAAGGCCGAGATGCCTAGAGAGACCGAGATGATAAACTGGTACCAGGTATCCTTGTTTCCTGGTCCTACATAGTCATCGCCATTGCACTTTCCGTGGTCGTCGTCTCCGACCTCGAGTATCCAATCCATGGCGATCGCTGTGCTGTGGCCGGCCACAGGCGGGAGCGTGCGTTAGATCGGATATCGGATTCAGTCGTTCGGGTTCGTGGTATCGAGGCTCGTGTGGATAGGCGGGTTAGGTGCAAGTCGGATGATCGGGTGGTCGTGTTAACGAGGGCGACATTGGGATAAGGTCGGGTCGTTCTAGTTCAGCCGCATCGTATTCGAGGAAGGAAGAGGAGGAGGAGGAGGAGGAGGAGGAGGAGGGCGACGAAAAAGCGGCGGAAAGATGTTTCTTGTCAGGCTGAGGCGCAAAGATGTGGATGGGTCCGTCGCCGCGAGGTGCAGTGTGATGGGAATTTTGGTGGTCCAGTGGTTCCGTCGCTTTGCGGATCGATTTGGAGGCGTGAGAGTGGTGCCCGCAGTGGTGCCAATGTGTTGTCCTGCGCTAACTTTCCACGATGATAGCGCCGGCGTGTTCTGCAGAAGGCAGCATCAACTGGAGACGACAAGGCGGAAGGCGCGACAGTGAGTGGTCGACACCGCTGCGAACTGGGGTTCGACTGGAGGCTGGGTGCCGTCATGCGGGGTGACGTTGCTTCCTTGATCCACTGTTGGGCACAGTCCACAATTGGGTCAGGATCGACAAGCCACAGGTGGCAGCCTTGCAGGCCTTTTGCACAGCCACACCTTGAACAATGCCAGCAACTGAAGCAACAACTGCAACTCGAAATTCAAGTTGCACATCGACAACCTAACACAACCACCACCAAACTGGCAGTTATCACCCAACCTTTTAACCTAGGTACCTAGAGGTACTCATCGCCATTGCTCCGATAATTCCTCAGCAAGGCTGTTTTCTGTCGCCATGGACTCGCCAATGGCTCTCTCCGCGGGCCATCAATTCCTCATGAAATCTGCACCAGACAGTCACGAATTTGCCCCTTCTCCACGGTTCTCTCATATCGCGGTTGCACTGGGTACGGCTTCTGCGTGATACCTCAATCATCATGTATTCTGGCAAGTGCCACAATGTCATGTCAAAATTACGATCTGTTATTTCCGACCACGCGTTTATGCTGTGGAAAGGCAGATGGACTTGCGGGTGAGGACTTTGGTTTGCTATTTTCCGTCATTGCGAACATCCTGTCTTTTCTACTGCTCTCATCATCCGAGCTCGTATTGACGTTGCATGGAATGTTGTGTTTTTTTCTACTGCCTCAAATCATCACAAATCAAATTTACTACATACGTTGTGTTCTAGCTTTTCCCACTTCGTCATCACATCCCCGAGTTGGCCATGTCATCGTCCCTTGATTCGACCCTCGATGCCCATGAGCTGGCTGGTGAACAAGGACAGCTGCTTGACCTGCTCGAGAAACTTCAATACGCCCAGCTCGAAAATGCCAAACTACCTCAGATTGTGGTCGTCGGTGACCAGTCGGCCGGCAAAAGCTCCGTCCTTGAAGCTATCACTGGAATTCCGTTCCCTCGCGAAGCTGGTGCCTGTACGAGGTTTGCTACCGAATTCAGATTGCGCAGATCTATCGAATCCAGCATCACCGTATCCATCATTCCCGACAGAAATCGCCCACCCAGTGAGCAAAACCAACTGCTAGACTTTGGCCGTCTGGTCAGCAGTAGCGCCCCATTCGAGCTCACAGTGATTGGAGCTGCAGAACTTATTGCTCCCAAGGGTATTTCAGGACGCTTTGCCGCGAAGGACATCTTGGTGGTGGAGAAGAAAGGGCCGGACATGCCATTGTTGACTCTTGTGGATCTGCCTGGCTTGGTACGGAACCCCAACAAGGACCAGTCTCTTGAGGATATCCGTATCATCGAAGCGCTTTCTGATCGCTACATGCGGAGTCCCCGTACCATCATCCTGGCCGTCGTTGGCGGGAACTCGGACTACGTCCAGGCTCCGGTCCTGACCAAGGCTCGACACTTCGATCCTAACGGCGCCCGAACCATTGGTGTTCTCACCAAGCCTGATCTTACCGACTCCATCGGTCTTGAGGACAAGTTCATTGAGCTCGTCAAGAACAATGACCGGCGTAACAACTTTCGTCTGGGCTGGTACGTCCTGTTGAATCCTAGTCCACGAAGTGAAGGAGAACCCTGGCCTTCCGCGGAGCAGCGCCGGTCGACTGAACAGGATTTCTTCTCCAAGGGCAAATGGAGCTCGCTTCCGGCATCTATTTGCGGAGCCAACGCTCTCAAGCAAAAGCTAAGTCTCCAGCTTCAGCAGCACATTGGAAGACATGTCAACGCGCTACGCAGACAAATCCAGAAGGCTTTGGATGATTGTGATGTCGAACTCAGGTCGCTTGGTACCGCCAAAAGCACTCCCGAAGAGATGCGCCTAGAGCTCATTGAACTGTTCTATGCTTCAAATGAACTCGTTGTCCCAGCGGCCCATGGCTTCTACAAAAACCCGCCCAACAAGGATTTCTTCCGTGTAACCGCAGATCCAAACGGAACGCCAGCACAAAATCTCCGTGCACGTGCCGCCGAGGAAAATGATCGGTTTTCAGCCAGAATCCGAGCTGACGGCCGCAGGTTCAAGCTTTCCGCTTCCAGTGGTCCCTCTGCCACGGACAAACAATCGTCATCGGGCGACTCCAAATCTGAGTACGCCCGTCTAGAGGTCAGCAGACTTCTTCATCAGATTCGAGGGTCCGAATTTCCCATGGATTCCACACCCAGAGCGGTTTACATGTTATTCCAGAGTCATTCGGAGCCATGGCCTAGACTAGCACAGGAGCACAAGGACAACGTTGGGGCGGTCTGCAACAATTTTCTCCGCGAGGTCATCAACTACATATGGCCCCAGCGCATGCGAGAGCCTTTGCGGCGTCACTTCATGGACTCCCACATGAAGGCACTGATAGACGAAGCAGACCGAGAACTGAAACACCTGATGCAAGATCTGAATCTCGAGGTCCAACCTTACGATCCTGAATATCAAGAACGTCTGGTAGCCTGGAAGAACCAGGCTGCTGAGTCTGGAACAACTTACACAGAAGCCGAGGAGATCCTGGAGAAGATGCTGATCTTTTACGAGCTGTCCGCCAAAACATTCATTCGCAACGTCATCACCCAGGTAGTTGAACGCCATCTCCTCCAAGGCATGTATGGCATCTTCAATCCCGCTGCAGTCATGGCGATGAGCAGTGAGGTAGTTGAATCTATTGCTGCTGAGAATCAGGAAACACGGGACCGACGTCAAGCCTTGACGGCACAACGCAAGGCTATCGAAGAGGCCAAAGATGTGTGCACCAGTCTAGCGATGCGCAAGGAACTCAGAGAGGTAGGTTTTGCCCCGCTCTCCCCGAAATACAACGCATTTAACTGACCACTGCAATAGCAATCGGTCGAGTACGGCGATTTGATTGATTTCACAACTGACGAAGACGAACCGAATTCGCCTACAAACCAACCCTCCAAGTCTTCCGGCACACCTCAACGAAGACCAGTACCCACGAGTACCCCGAATGTAGCTGAAGGTACGCGCAGCAATGCATCCCCCAAGGCCACGACAAATAACCCGCCACAACCGCCTGCGAAGATCTCTAATGAGGTGACGGATGCGCGTGGCAATCCAATTGCACAGGCCACTATTCGTGGGCCGCCACAATTGCCCATGTCTGTGCCCCCGGTACCACCGCGACAGGTCCAGATCGCAGAAAGCCATCACGGACAATCAGATGGTTCACACAGTACTCGGAGCAGATCGCAAGCAAACCAGGAGAGTGACCAAGATCAGAACGTTTTCACTCCACCCAGTATGTCTTCAGGTCTGAGTGGCAGTCCTCCTGCTCGCCCGGAGCCTCCTGCGAAGAAAAGCACTTCTTCGTTTCGGAAGATCTTCAAGTAAACACACGTATCAGTGTTGTACTTTCGCAGGCACGATAATTATTTCTTAACTAAGTTATCAACGTTAGCGAGCTTCGTGTGCATCCATTCTTATTTTGGAGTTTGGGTTATAGACGACAGGCTGGACAGCTGCTTGGCGATAAGAGGCTGTGATTCTTAGCTCCCATTTGTTTATGTAGTAGCACTAACGATCGCAATATCAAGGCCGCTACTTCAAGCTTACCACTGCTCCCCGCAAGAATTGATTAAGCAAGCACATACTGTTACTGTGAGCTTCGAACAACTCTTTCCTTCTGGAATTTCTTTTCTTTGTTTCCTTTTTATATTATATACATATTTTTGGTATTTTTTTTTGGTTTTGAAGTGAACCATCTTTCAATCCCGACCGTCGCCGCTTTCGTTCGAAAGATGAAATGCATCAACATCAACAGCCAATTCCTTAAACGCCGTGCTATGATTGGGCGGCTTGCAGAATGTAGTATTGTAATTGGTCAATTGCGTGTAAGTGGGTGGGCCCAGGCTGCACTTCACCTTCGCCCGCTGCTTTTTGCAAGCCCTTTCTCGATGCCTTCACCCACATCTTCCACTCAAATGCGAAGTCGCAGTCGCCTTTCCGAGTGGAATAAATTTTTGTTTTCCTCGAGGGTCTCCTCCGATGCCCTTGCATTATAAATCGGAGTTTCAGGAAGTTCCAAGAAGGCTCGGTGGCTTATGCATAGCAGGTGCATGACAGACCAGAAAGCAAGGCTTGCATGCCAGCAGCTACGGATTTCGAATATTCTTGAGCTTGCGGAATCTAACATAAAAGACCACATCTTCTGTCATTTGTCCGTTTCGAATTTCTCTCTCTCTAACCTCTCTAATAACATTCTCAAAGCCGTTGCACAACTGACCAACACATCGCCGTCTTTTGCTGAGACCCTTCGACGACAAAAAGACACCTCCACGACGAAGAAAAATACCTGTTCAATTTCGTCGCACACTTCTGCCCTGCTCCTCGACGTCCCATGTCCAGGCAGAGGTGGAAGAACTCTTGAAAGCCTCCGAACTCCCCCGGTCCTCCCGCTCCCGCCCCTACCAAAAGCTCCCCCGAGGAATCCGCCCTCCACAAAAATCTCCGTTTCGCACCCTCCCTCCACTCACCTTGCCCCTCCTCCTCCTCTACCGCCACCCCGACCAAGAACGCCCCCTTCCACAAGATCGGTGCCGGCACCTGCGACGCCATCTTCTCCCAAGACTCCAACCCCGACACCATCCTCAAGCTCGCCAAAGACCGCACCAACCCGGAACTCTGGAACGACTTCCGCCAACACCGAAAAATCGCCCGCTGCTTCGCCAACCTTTTTTTTTTCGGATAAAAACCCGCCCATCAACATCCCCAAACCCTTCTGCTACATCACCGCCACCAACACCTCCTTCTGGGCCGCCAAGTCCAGCGCCGGCCTCATCCAAGCAGCAGAAAGCCAACACATCTGCGCCGTGCCCACCAACGCCCTCGTGGCCGAGCGCATCCTCCCCCTTCCCCTCCGCACCCGCCAGCTTCTCATAGAGAAGTACTGCTCCCCGCTTCGCGGCGGCCAGCAGAAGGCGCTGGATGATCCGGCTAACGCCGATTGTTTGGTGCGCGTCTACCTCGGGTCTACCTCTGGTAAAAGCAGCGGTCTGTTTTTTTGTTTGCAGAACCTCAAGCTGCACCTCAACCAGCTCGTCGATTTGGGGATTGACGTCGAGGCGCTGGCCACGCGCATGGGACTTGCTTTGGCGGTGATGCACTGGGGTGCGAAGACGGATGCGAGGGATGTGGAGTTTGTGCTGGGGAGTGGTTCGGAGGAAAAGGTCCCCCGAGAGTTGAAGGAGGATATCAATGGCACCGAGGAAGAAGAAGAAGAACAAGAAGAACATGATGTCGCCCCCGCCAAGTACCACGGCATGGAGAATTTTTGGTGCAGGCAGACGGAGATGTGGGTCCTGGACTTCAACCAGGTGAGGGATATCACCCTCGATGATGCCGGCGTGGTCTTGGCCGTGGAAGCGGTCAGGTTGAATGATCCGTACTTTCCCAAGCCTCTCAAGAGCTCGGAGGCGGAGAAGCATGCGTGGAAAGCCTTCATCGTCAGCTACATAGAGAACTCCACCACCATCCTCCGACAAGCCCTCCAGAACGACCAGAACTTGGCCGTGGAGATCCTCGGTTTCCCGAGGAAGTTTATTTTGGGCGTTGTGGAATTGGAGAAGGAGAGGATGTCTCGTCGCGAAGGCGGCAACACTGTATAGATTGGAGTTATTTTTGGTGTTGCGTCCTTCATGGCATGGGTTCCATATATTTGCGGAGGACTAATTTTCGTTTGCGAAGGCTTTGGTATCTTCGCTGGAGGCATGGGTTTTTTTCTTGGAGGCCTTTATGGACAGTACCTAGATATACTAGGCGTTAGGCAAGACTTCTATGTTTTCTTTCCTTTTAGACTAGTTTCAAATTGAATATCCCTTCTTCGTGGTGTAAAGGCACCTGACCTTCACCCACTTTCTAAAACAAAAGCCTACCTTTATTAAAGCTGAGTACGTGAAACAAGTATAGGTTATCGCTACCTATAAAGCGGATCGCTTGTCGTTTACACGAAGTAAATTACCTATAATGCAATAGCAGTCACGTAACAGGCTGTCATTGCATTAGCTCACTTTAGACCGCAAAAAGAAATAATGTCAAGGCATAAACGGAATGTGTAGTTGTTTGAAGGACTTTTGTAAGGTTGTAAAGTCGTTCCTAAGAGTTACAAACACTTCCTTTGCATTCAACACAACGTTCCAAGTAAATCATGGTAGTCTCATCGGCATCTGTCGATACCTACCTGTACGTTTGATTCCAATGAGTTTTTTTCTTCTTCAGTATGTCAAAATGCACAAGAACTTTCGTAATACGCATTTCCCAACTTCAGGAATATCTTCCGGACGGCTTAATTAGCGTTTTGCCTTGTTGATACCAAGTCGTGGAGAATCCGAGGGTTGTTTTAGACTTCGTTGATCCCTTGTGAAAGTGCGCTAAGAGTGTTTTCGGGGCTTTCCCATACGCATTAATACTTTTCAGGGCCTTTGTGAATGTTTTATCACACTCATACCTCCCTCCTATCACCAATTGAGCCGGGCAATAACAGAACATTCACATTCATATTCACAGCGAAGATCGAGATATGATGTAGGCACAGAGTTACATTATATTACATAGACACTATCGTACTTTGAGGCTCCTGTGATCCTTTCCTGGGACCAAGCAACCGAAATATCAACCTTTGGTATATCCATCATCATCTTCATTAACAACCTGAACAGAAAAGTTTCAACCCCGTTATTGCCAGTGACCGGGCACAGAACCTAAGCCACAACGCCAGTGAAAAGGGAAGATCCGAGTAAAAGAAAAGGTGAAACCCATAAACCAGATCAGGCCAAAGTCCTTCCCGTCATTATACGACGCTGAAAACGAGACCGAATTCCCAAGCTAAGAATATACGCAGAGACCGAAAAAAAAAAAAAAAAAAAAAAAGAAAAGCAAAGAAAAACAGGCTGGAAGCACTCACAACGAGCCACCCCTAATGACTCGCACGGTGCCCAGCCGATTGGGATCCATCGGCCCCTTCTTGGACTTGTTCTTCTTACCACTGGAACTCCCACAGCTCCTCGTCTCGAAATCATCCTTCATAGCAGGAGCGTGAGGAACACCATAGCCGTATGCTCCGTTTCCGTTTCGCCACGCTTTATGTCCCTTGCCTGATCCTCTTCCTTTTCCACCACCTCCCACACAAACATGTACGCTACCACCAATGGTAGTAGAAGACGGCAGCCCATCACTCCCCAACCTAACACCCCTTTGACTACCCATTACGTTCTGCACCCCTCCTTGCGAAGTACCAGAACCAGTCCCAGGCCTCAGCGACATGGACTGACGGCGTCGCATCCACCACGTTCCAACCCGCGACCTCTTCCACAAGGCCTCCACCTCCTCCCTCAAAACGACCCACGTAGTCGCCATGAAGATCACCGCGTTCCACACCCCCTGCAGTGGCAACACCACCGCGCTCGCCAGGTTCAGCGGGTAACTCGTGTTCTTCGGGTACAGCAACGAGTGCACGCGGTTGATACTGCTGGGCGTCCAGGTGACCAAGATGGAAATGGCGAAAACAAACGAGGTGCGCAGGTAAGCGAGCTTAATAGGGTCGAGACGATGCAGCTTGGCCCAGAATTTGCGAAAGGGACGGCGGATGGTGGAGAGCAGACTGTGCAGGCGGGTACGGTTGGTGAAGCGTGAGGATTGCTGGTTGCGGTGGTTGGCGTAGGTGCAGGAGGAGGTGTGCACGTGGTGAGCTGCAGAAGAGGAGGAGGGACATTGGCCCGTGGTGGTGGTGTTGGAGGTGCGGTTGTAGGAGGAGTAAGTATGACCGTAACCGCCGTGGCCACTGTGGATGTAGGTGGTCTTTTTGAGACTGGATTTGGGCTGTCCGCTGCCGGCTGTTATGTCGGTGGCGTGGTGGATGTGGACGTGGTGTGTGGTGGTGGTGTGGTAGGGTGGGGAGATACCACCGCCGGAGCCACCGGAGCCGCTAGAGTAGATGGCGGAGGGAGGGACGATGTGGTCTTCACTGTTGGAAGACGAAGAGGAGGAGCAGTTGGATGCCCAGGGGTGGATGCTGTTGATGTTATTATTGTTGTGGCCCGGGGGGTGGGCGGCAAGGGGGACCTCGGTGATAGATGGGGTCGGTGATGAGGCATCTCTAGTGAGGGCCATTGATTGCATGTCGGTGTTGTCGGAGATGTTGACTTCGACCTGGGTGGTTACGGTGCCGTAGCATCCTGGATGGTTGGAGAGATCCTGTGTACGAGCGGCAAGGAAAGTGTCAGCAAGGGGTAGACATAGATCTCGCATGCTTCGGACTGTGGTACGACAGTAGTGACGTAGCGTGGTGTTACATGCGCGGGGAGGAGGCCGGAGAAAGCAAACGAAGAGCAATGCTGGTAAAGCGCAAGTGTACTGACCATGGGAATAACGGTAGGGCATGGCGAATTCCGGCCAGCGCTGATTCCGTAACTGTGCTTCTCGCCTAGTTCTATGTGCTCCCTGTGATCGGATCCAGAGCAGTTCTTCCCCTGGTTGCTGAAGGTCAAGTTCCGTAGCTGGTTGCGCTGGTGAAACACCTGATAGCCCACGGCGAGGTATACTAGTCCGGAGAGAAAAATGCACGTCCAGATAGGCAGATAGTAGGTGTAAATCCGAAGAGGATTCCAAGTGTCTGCGATCCAGCACCACAACTGCGAAGATAGTCAGCATCTCATAACATGACCAAGCTACCTCCACAAGGGTACCGAGGGATTCGTACCGTGGCATTTCCATAGTAGTGAGTATTGGAAGGACTGTGAGCGAGGAGGACGATTGCCGGAATCGAAGGAAGTCCGTAGCACACCAGGCAATACAACCAGAGGTAGTCGCGAAACGCGTTGGGGTTGAGCGCGAAGAAGAAAACCAGAAAGACGTTTACTGCCATGGCAAGTGACCACCACGGGTCTGATTGCATGAACCTGAACAGAAAAATAAAAAATGTTAGCGCGTTGTATCCAATCTGAGATGATTCTCACGATAATCTCACTTACATTTCAAGAAGGAACGCCTGCGTGTGGCAGAGCGCCGAGTCCTCGCCGGCAATGATACCCGCATAGCCGATGAAGCACGCCGTGCTGGCCCCGACGTTGGCGATGGAGGCGAAGAGGATGAAGGTGTTGGGTACGGTCCGTACTCGCTTGAAGAGGCCGTAGGCAATGAAGATCAGGAACACCCAAGCAGGCTCAGAGAGGCGCCAATCCTCTCGACGTGCTCGATGGTGTCCCGCTGTGTCTGTGTGAGATTCATGTAGCCTTGACTGTATTCCACAACTTCAGGCGGTTGTTCGACCTGAACCTGCGGGGTGGTGCCGGTGAACTCGGCCATGGTTGGAAGGAGGGGAGGCGAAAATATCTTAAGTGTATTTAGGAACAGGGATAGATTAATTGGCCAAGCCTTGTCTTTGGCTTCAGACCTGTGTTTGGGATGGAAGACGGCGTAGCAATCTGACAAACCAGTGCTCGGGATCCCGATTTGGAATGTGTTGGACCACACGTGGCTTGGCTTCTGAAAGCAAGACTGCTGCAAGTGTAGAAAGCGGCAGAGTGAGCAGCAGGAATGCCCACCAAAAGAAAGATCCCGCGGGGTTGAAGGACTGGGTGGTGGTAAACTGGGCGTCGTGTGTGAGCGTGGGTCTGTTGCGGCTGTAAAAGCAGGCTGGCTTCATCGAGCCAGTAGGATCCGGAACAAGCCCACCCACCCAACGGTCACTCCCCGCGTCCAGAAACGAAAAAGCAAAAGAATTGGAAGGCTTGGAAGCGTGCCCGGCCTATTGACCACACACCAATGACGAGCCACTGTCGGCGCGGTTCGAGAGGCCGATCGGTCGGGAAGCCGGCCACGGAGAACGTTAGTTGATCTCAGGCTGAGGTGACTAAGGTATCAGATGCAAGCCGTCTATGGTGAAGATGTTTGCTCCCGTTACCGCAAATCGCATCAAAATATTGAGCCTCCTGACGGCGCCTCTATTTCCAGGACAATGGATAGTCGGCAGATCTGGTGCCCCTTGATGGGATTAGGCAAGCGAGTCGTGTGATCAACGGTGTGAATTGGCCGTGGGTTGACAGTGGACAAGAAGAGAAGGGAAGGTGTCGAGGACAGAAACCTTGGATGGGATGGTTTGTCTGGGGAAGATGCGGGATGAAAGACAGCTGAACGGCAGCCACAAAACACGCGCTTAGTTGATTGCACGAATGGACTGGACACTCCCCTGACGAAACTTGATAGCAACAGGGCCCTGGGTCTCGAATTGGCGTGAGATGGCGGTCTTGGTTTTTGGCAGCAATTCGACGCGGTACTTGAAAATCGTCAAACCTCCAACGATTGGGACTTTGCTCCTTATACTCTCCCTTCAATTACTTTTGCCACCAATACGCGGAGAAAGCGAGAGAAAATGCTCAACAAACTGTGGGAATCCCGCTGTCTAACATGTATCAGTTTAGTTGCGCTTCCGGCCGCGGGGAGTGCTGTTTGGGTGCTGAACAGGTCCTGATGCTTGGCCGAGCTTTGTAGAAGTGGTAGGCATCTTCGGACTACGCGGTACTCCTCCTATCATCTGGCGAGGCACGAATCCGTCTCTTTCGTCCCTAACACGAGGGAAGTAGCATGGGCCTTGCGGAGAGCAACCAGTGTCCTGCAGGAGATTTAGTGTTGTATGATGCAAGCCACCGGTCCAGTCGGAAAGCAAACTTGCCTTCCGTCTTTTGTGTGGATGTCGGGTGCGAAGCAAATGCGCTCTGGGAATCCAACTGTCTGATACGCATCTCATGAAGAGGCGGGCTATCTACCATGACTGTGTTAGCAACAGGAGCACCCTAGCCAGCACGTTTTAGAGTTCAAGGACATACCTCAAAGGGGCAGTTGGATAGCAACACGACTATTGTCCAACGTCAACAAGAGACAGCAGATATCCCTCTGGGAAGCTGTCGTGTTGTGCACGGGGGAAACACTCGATAACCGAGACGGGCTCACGATCCGGTTTCTCCATGTCGTTCTGCTTGCCTGATCCTGAGCTGGTCTGCAGTGTCCCAGTCCGTCTGGCCATGGAGACGGACTCGGACCAGATTACTTGTGCGACCTTGCTGTGAGTATGCGCAGAACTCATTGGTCGAAGCGGAACTCGTCGAGGTTCACAGCATATGAAACCCATCAGCTGCAATATGCTTTCCCAGACGAGACGGTTCTGGTGCTCCCAGTGTTGGAGTAAAACATGATACGGACGATGATGCGAATGAAGACAATGTTGGCCGGCAGTCTCTCTGTTCAAAGGAACCAAACGTTCTCCTGCGGGAGATGCAGGTTATATCGGACACTGGTCGGGAAGCAGTGTGATTGTATTTGCCGGCCTCGACGTTGATAAATCTTGGTGGTTGGATGTTCGTTAGTATCTCTGTAAGGTTGGTCATGAACAGGGGTCTGGCCCTATGTGTAGGGCCATTGTAGGTACGGGATGTTTGTTTGCCCTCTGCAGAGGCATTGACAGCATCGTTGTGCCCCCGCTAGTGTGAGGTCAGTGAGGACGTATGCAGTTTAGTTCCAGGCCAGGTTTGCTAATAGTCCACGTCGTGTGAGCAGTAACCAGCCACTTAAGGGTATCCCAAACCCCATGGGTAGGGTTGGGGGAATCGTATAAAAAGGAACGGTAAGAACTCCAAAACAAAGAAACCGCAGAAAAGAAGCAAAACCAGATTCTCCACAATTGCTGGGTAGGTGACGCTTGACGGTTTTCTTGGCTGTCAAATCACGGGAGCCGCTTGCAAGGACGAGAACAATTGCCATTTCTCAGCCAAATTCCAAACCTTTCTCCATCCAAAAATACCGTGGCACCACACCTTCCCGTCTCCTCCCTAGGGTTGTTACAGATTATTTTCTTCGTTTTCAATACCAACTGCACAGCCTTCTTTCAAGACGGACCACGGCCCACGGGCTCAGGAACTTCCGGTGTCAGGAGCTGCGAGTGAGTAAATCAATAGGTAGTAGGAGAAGTCAAACATACCTACCACTACCAGACGACGACCCGCTGGAAGAGAAAGCGGAATAGATATGCCCTCTCTCCCTCACGCCTCGACAAAGGTTCCATTGGCCTGAGTGGCCACATTAGTGTGTATGGCCCTCCCGGGACCTTCGTTTTCGACGGGTAGATGCGTGCCCTTGATGCGACAACGGCCGCCTCATCCTGGTCGCGATTGGTGATTTACCCCAAAGGTACGACACTAAGTGCAGATCCAATCTGATAATAACCCCATTGTCTGCTGGACTTGCGGTTACAGAAAAGTAACCTGCCGCCTTGGCGGTGCAGACAACGAGCACAGAGTTCCAGCCATGATAACAGGAATATGAGGCAGATCAGGTAGGTTGCCGATGAGGCGACAGTAGGCGCGAGCGACGGTCTCCCTCCCAGGCCTTTTGGAATTTTATAGGATTAGTGATCTATCGAACCTTTGTGTAAGCGGCATAAAATCGGCGCCCTTCATTCCAGTGTGCAATGTTGTGCGGTAACACCAGGCCACAAACACCAAGGGCAATGGACAACTTTACCTACCAACCTACTCCTCACCAACATGTACTACCTCTAGGTAACAGTGATCTGATGTAGCGGCTCCGTGGTTGTAAACACACAAAGCGTTCTGCTGTGCTCCGTGAGAGCATTGGTTTCCTGACCACTCGCTGTCCCTTGCGGTCTTTGGAGGGTACCTTACTGACTTCTTCGTACCTCATCGTCAGACAGCCAGGGGCCTGATGTCCTTGATTTGTAGTGACATGATGCTGTAACATCGAGATCCGCCGGTAACTGTACCTGCATTAGTCACCTGGCCTGCGTTGAGTGGCGAGAATCGCCAACTGTCTTAGACGCTAAAAGGTAGGACTCACGTTGTTTTGCCTCTTAACCACTCGAGTGTCCTTCACCAGCTCTCCACCGTCTCATATCTGTGGTCTGTGGTGTTCTCTCCCGTCAGCATACATGTTTGTTCATCAAACAAGAGCCGTTACTTGGCAATTTGGCTTCCTTGGCCGAAACCTTTGTGGTTGGGAAAACTCCTGCCAGAGAGCAAACATTGACTGCACGCCTGTCTTGGGTGGCTCTTTGCAGTTTATAGACGACAAATTGCCTGGAAGCCACCGCATTTATTGCATCTCCACGATGACATCGCCATCACGCAGGTTACTGAATGGAAGATGATATTAGTGGTGGCACTATCAGGACTCTCGCCACTCTCATCCACCGATACATGTGCATGTGGGCACATTCACTACATATCGACCCAAAACTTCCTTTCTTTTTCGAGGCAATCAAAGGCTCACTCACATGAAGGGTCTGTAATAACATTATTTGTGACTCGCTACTATACGGGCCACTATGGCGGCCATTATCACACTTCATCTTGATCCCCATGCGAGCAATCCCAATCGCCGATTCACCGTGTGTATGTCCCCTCAATCGTATAGTCTTTCTTCGGTCCCTTGACTCGGTAGGCTAGAGACCAATCCTTGAGGTTGACGGCCTTGAAGTTGAAGCGGTAGTCGACGTCGTAGAAGTCATCGATGCATAGATGGCCAGCATTTGCTCGCCATGCTTGGGATGCACCCTCGGTTTCCGTGTCCGGAATGATGAACTCCACTTGGTGAAACAGATAATCAGCCCTCTTTTGATCGTCCGTCTTGACGAACCAGACGCTCAACGTGTCCTTCCTTTCATCATACCTCCAGACATATCTCCTTGTTGCACGGAAAGAGAAGCCGTTGGAAGCAGCGAACATGCCTTCCTCAATGTAGAGATACTCCAACCCAACGTGGTCACCCCTTTCCGAAGCAGCATCGTGCTCTGCTTCACGTCCATCTCTTGTACGTTCCCTGAGTAGGAACCTGGCAGTACCGCTAAAATGGCCGCTTGGGTGAGTGGGAAGACGACTCACAAGATCCCTCTCAAGCTTCCACTCGCCCAAGAGGGAACGGAAGACGGCTTTTGCAACAAACCTTGCCGAGGAAACACCAGACCATGCTGTGCTTTCAGTCTGCTGAATGGACTTTGTGACTTCTGTGCGCTGTGCTTCAGTTGATCGCTTAGCCGGATAGCGTGCTGGTGTCAGGATGTCCATGCTTTTGTCAGCTGGTGGAACTCTAGGCATCTTCCCCAACGGTGGTATGCGCTCAATTTCCAGAGCCCTCGAAAACTCTTGCATGAGCCATGGGTAATCGCCCATGGGAAATTGAGAAACCTGAGGATCAGTTCGCAGAGTCAAAGTCCGCTCAATGGAATCGTCTTTTTCAAGGGCGGCGGCCATCTTGGGAGGAAGTGACGAAGAAGTAGGTCCTCCGGCCGCCCATAAAGCTGTGACAAAGCGGGCTTGCATCTCCATGACACCCCAATAAGGTGATCGGTAGAAACCCACAAATCCCAAGGAGGGAATTGCTGGATGATGGGTACCATGAAAGGCCAAGGCAACAGTATTGTTCAGGTCAAACGGCAGCACCGACAGAGTCTCTCGGACAGAGGATGGTAGGAAAGAGATGGATGATGCTGACTCGAAGCCAGTTGCTAGCACTACTGCCGCAACGTCGTTGATCTTGCTTACCTCTCCCCGAGCTGTTGTGACGGTAACAGTACTACCGGTCAGAGAGTCTACTTTTCCATACGACACCGATATGAGCCCGGTGCGGACAAAGTCTGCGTAAGTGTCACTAACGGCCAGGTAAGGAGGTTTGCCCATGTCGGTGTTTGCGATGGCCAGATTGGGGGAGAAGTCGGACTGGTCAGTCCCCAGCATCGTTTCGTAGATTGAATGGAGTGCCTTTGCTGCCTCTGTCGAGACATGGCCTTGCATATTGGTTAAATTATCGGTTCGGTTGGCTAGGTTGTATGAGCAAAGATCCATGGGCAAGAATGGCGGTGCGGGCGAGGCAGGCTAGTTGAAGGAACAGTGGTTAGCCCAAAGAGTCGAAAGCAAACCATTCCAATTCAGTGGGATGGGCACCTTTGGTGATGTGAAGAGTGGAAAGACCCAGGCAGGCCTTTGGGAAACATGGTGGACCGAGTACTTGTCCACGTTCTGAACAGGGCTTGGACCAGGCGAGTGCTGTGCCGAGGAAAGATGGGTTGCGACAGTCCCAGCTATCTCGACACCTGACATTTGGCCTCCAACTACCACAATCTTGTGCCCTACGCCTGTCGCCCGCTTGAGTAAGGCGCCGAGAGTCCTGTACTGACTGCTGTGGACAACCGGGACATGACGACTGGCGGCCACTGGTGGAGGTATCACTGGCTTGCCGAAGAAACCAGATGCGACAAGCAGGTAGTCAAACGTATGATCGACCTGTTGGCCATCTTGACCACATGTCCTGACCTTCCACTTGGCTCCCTCGGCGCTTTGGTCGGACGGTTGAAGCAGCTCAGAGTGAAGCACGCGCTCGCCAAGGTGGAGTTTGGCGTCCCGGCAGTATCGATCATGGTATCTCTCGAGATAGCGTCCAATATGCCAAGCTCTGGGAAATTCGGGGGCGTCGTCGGGCCAGGCCAAGTCGCTGAACTGGACCGTGTGTTTGCTCTGGTTAGCTACCATGAGCGGGTGAACAAGAGCGGCGTGGTCATCCTTTTTCGAGGGCCAAAGACCACCTAGACGGTCCTGGGCTTCGAAGATGGTGACATGGAAGGTCCCCCTGGGCTGGTCGTGAAGAAGAGACTTGGCTGCAACTAGGCCGGATGGGCCAGCACCTGTGCCAGGAGATGATTAGAAAGGCGTGGCTGCATAGAAGGAAATGTGTGGCGATGTTGGGCGTTGCAGAAGGGTGGATGAGTGGAAAGGGAAAAGGTCATGGTAAGGTATTGTTGGCGTTGAGGACACATGCGGGAGCGTGGTGTTGAAGGGGAAAAGAAAGGAAAGAGAGGGTAGGCGTATAGAAATGGAAGCACGAAGCAGGAGGGAAAACAGGCGCCAATGGCTTAGAAGTGGAAGCAAACATGAGGTGAACACACCAACAATGCAAACTTTCTTTGGAGCTGCCATGAAGCCACGAATGGACCGGCCAGCTTGTCTGCAAATAGACGGTCCGAGACAGACCCAGGTGAGAATGGCCCGGGGAGTCGTTGCCTTGAATCCGTATATTGGTGGAGTGGTTGGTCACGGGCCACGGCGTCGTCAAAGCAGTGGCGGGAGGAGCTACCATAGAGTACCACAGAAACACTTGAGCAGGAAGCACCTGGGGAGACCTCGGAATACTTCAATGAGCGAGTACTTGGTCGACTTTTGGGGGAGAGAGCAACGATTGTTAGTAGCCAGGTTTTTGGGTCTCACCAACAAGAGATGAAGCTGAGGGATCGCGATATCTCGCGGTCTGGTGCTCTTGGTGATGAGGTGTGATTGGAGGTTGTGGCTGATGACTGAGCAGTGAGCACGGTTGACAGTGAGTGGTCCCCAACTGAAAGCAGCCCCGCAGCTGGCAGATTGGACGGAAGAGTGAGGGGTCAGAGGAAATCAGTGGACAATTGACTCAGAAAATCATCATGTGGTCGTGGGGAAAGTGCCCGTGGGGGGAAGGTCAAGATAAGGTTAGGGCGCGAATGGAGAAAGGCGCAGATCTCCCCGCACCAAATGACCCACCTACTAACAGACTAACAGCGGAGCTCCGCCAGACGTCACGGGGATCACAAGGCAAGGGTACCTAAGTACCTCGAGGCTGTCGGTGGTTCGGTACAATACATCTCCCGTACTGGCGAATTGTTAAGAGCCTCACCCCGGGCAGCCTTGAACCGAGTGACCAATACTCTAACGCTTCATTTTGAGCTTCAATGAATTGCCGGATTCCGTTTCAGAGCCTCTCTAGTCTCATGTAAACACAAGACACCACCTGTTTTGCGTATCTCAAAGGCTGTTTGTGCCGTTATATGCCCCGAAGCTAGTAACAGATGACTTCTTACTGTTAGTGACCACGCTAGATTGCTTCTGTTTTCCTCCAACAATGGTCTGATGAAATTCACTCGAGTCTTGATGGAAGATTTGAGATTGGAGTACGGTATTTTTAGAGTCTATCTGATGCCACGCCACGGTCCTCGTGCCGTCTGGCAAACATCCATCTATCTTCCTGCACCTTTTCACCCATTCCAGGAATTCAGGTCATCGTCCATTTTTACCTTATTGCAAAGAACAAACAACTTACAGTACGCTCCCAGCAGTGGAGTCTAGTCCCAGCGCTTTGGATCCGGAATCATATCCCCTATCCACCGGAACCCCATCTATTTCCATCTTCTCTTCCCAGTGGCCTGCAACACAAACACGACCCAACACGAACCCCCAGCATTGCAGTGGTCTTCAGCTGACCGCCTAACACCCTTCACTTCGGCTGCCCTGTCCACAGACATGACAGCCGAGTCCAATATACCACCACCGCCAAAAGCCTCGAGGTACCCTGCCGCCATGGCAACACAGCATCTACCATACCGCGTAGCGTACCCATACCCCAATCACAGTATAGGTACGCATCACCTGCCTATCTGGACAACAGCAGCTCAAGAAGGGGATCCCCTGGATCGCCATGGACCCAACAGCCAACCTCAAGCGGTGACTAGCGAGTCGCTTGGTCGTGTAGCCGGACACCCGACGCACTGCACCTTTCCAGCGACCTTCGCCATAGCCCTCCTCGGGAGCTGGCAGATCTTGCGAGTCGTTTGGCACAATTCTCCTAATTGCTCCTGCAGCCATATCATTCCACCGCACAGCCCTCGACCCTCGAGGCACAGATATCCGCCATGAATCCATCGACAACACCGCAGTCGAAAACCGCCATGGGAAAGGAATGTCCATGCCACATGGCCTGGGTCTGCGTACCTGGGTCTGCGTACCTATCTGACTGCCCCCCAATCTCCAAGCCCCAGTCCCTAGCCGACCAAGCATTAAACTGGTGGCTTAATTAGCGCCAGGGGAGGAAGCACAGAAGCAAGCTAGAAAACCGCTTCTCGTCTTGGCAGCTTCTCGATGGGTAGGTAGGTACCAGTACCTAGCGAGCTACCTAGCGACCTACCTAGCCCACACCAGAGGCTACTTTGGCCCGTCCCGATCGATGGCGCTATCATGGGGTTGATGCCGTCCACGCCGAGAGGGGACTTGCCTGCCGATACTTTCCAGGTAAGCGCCCTCTAGCCTCTTTCCACAACACTACAGCCCATGTCCCTCGTCATGATCACGTACAAGTACCGGATTATAGCCCTACACACATTGGCCGCCCTCTCTACCCTCTGTCCTGGCCCAACAAAGTCAAAGAAGAGGAGGCCACAGTTTGCCTCCTAGCGAGACGACCACGGTTCGCTTTGGAGCCATGTTGGACAAACGCAATGGACGAGCCGGCCACTTGCAGCAGCTTGGTGACACGGTTCAACTAGTGTCAGGAGCTGGAAATCCTTCGATATTTCCCAAAAACGTCGTCAATATTTCCATAGCTAATTGCTTTGCTTCTTGTTGAGTACAGCCACAGATCTGGCGGAACCTCTTCAGCACGTGGATCGCAAGTAGTCCTACCAGACAGCGGCTGCTTGCTCATGAGCCGCTATTGCAGGCGAGACCTGCCAAACGATAACCCACAAATCCAGTCATGACCATGGCATACGCCGTCGCCTGAGCGGGTACACGCCTGAAGACTTTCCCAAAACATTCAATAGTGCCATGTTCGCCCGCTTTGTTGGCCTTTTGGGCGTCGGACTACAGCAGCTGGCCAGCAACGGTGAACCGAAAGGACCGCACCTTGACACAAAGCAAACTTGGTCCACCCAGAAAATAATCAAACTTCAAACACCGCTGCCTTTCTCGACTCACTTCGCCTCTAACCGGGCATTATCATCTGCCCCTTTTTCGTGTGGCGTCCGCATGGGAGCAAACAAGCCATGCTTTTGTCCATGCCGCGCCGTGGACAAGACACAAAAACATCTGCCAAGCCTCAACCAAGAAAGTGGTTTCAACGGATTGTCCACCAAGACAGTGCACAACACGTTCTCTCTTCGGAACTAATACTCGGGTTGCAACACACCTTTGACCTCAGGACGGATGGTGTGGTGCCTCCATATGCAATCCCTTTATCTAGCGCGCCCATCCGCTCAGCCTTCCCCGAATCAACACTCTGCCAGCACCGACCAGAGATTCGGAACGACAGTCTGTGTCAAACCTCCCTTCTCCTGTCTGAAACATAAATGGCCTCCTTGGCGAATTCTGCGCGCGCAGTCACCGAGCACGCCCTTCTTCGGACCGTAAACAATGAATAATCTGGTACATGAGTCTCACTAAAGGCCGTAATGGCTAAAAGTTACCAGTTGCTGTTGTGCGTTTGAGGGGGCACTCCTAGGGTTGAGGATTTGGTAATACAAGGCCTGCTGAGACACCATGTCGTCCACAGATGACGGATACCAGATTATCTTGGTCAAGAAAAAGTCATTTATCTGGCATTCCTGGTCTATCAGGTACTCAACATGAGCGTCAGGTCCGGTATGAAAAAGACACTCCCTTACGCACTTCCCAAAAAAACTGGCCAGGGTTTACTTTCCGGCTGCCATGGAACAAGCAAGTGGTGTGAGACAGGCACACCACTCCCGCTTGGCGGTTCAGACACGAACACACAAGTACTTCTTGCTCCCTCGTTTGCTAGCCTCTGACGAACCACGAAGCAGGCATCACTGGTGTCGATGTTCCAAGGGGGTTCTAGAAAAACAAAAATGCACCTCCCTGTCTGGGTATATCTGTCCGACTCTCCGTTCGCGCTCAACACCTCCTCTTCGGACGAGAGAATCTCACCAATGTGTGCGTCACGGACATGATTAAGTCAGCTAGAAGCCTGTCCGGAACAGTACCAACAAGGCACCCCCTCCCAAATCGTATTATTGTTGAGGTTGCTGAAGCGGGGTATTCCTGGTGGAATACCAGTGAATGCAACAGAACACTCTGAAGTTCGGTTTGACAAAGTCTGGTGAGCGCTGTAATGACAGATGCTAGAAAGCGTCTTGGTAAGATGGGAGATTGAGGGGATAATATCAACCAGGATCCCAACATGCTGGGACCGCAGGGAGGGAGCAAGCAGTAAGTCTGAGGCTCCTAGCATCGGGGAGCCCACTTTCAGGTGAATGTTTGCCCGACCCTAGTATCCATGCCTATCCCAAAGATCATTCATGGCTGGCTGTCATGTACCTCTACGAACGTCGAGGATAAGGTGTGCCAGGAGCAGGGGTAGAGGTGGCGTTGAGTGCATTGGTAATGTGTGCTTTAAGGATAATGGGACAATACGTATGGGATCTGCCGTCCGCCTGCCCGTGGCGTCCCAGTTGGGCCCGTGGGCGCATATGCGGCGCGTGGGATATGTTGCAAACTACTTATAAGCTGCCCCAGCTGGTTTAGCCTCCTCCCCTCCGCATTATCAACCCCACCTGCACCCATCGTCCCCGTCCTCGGGACTATCCTATTTTGGGCCACGCATTCCATTGTTCTCTGTCCCTCGCTGCATTTCCTGTACCGGTACAGCAAACACTAACAGTACAATCGTTGCCCGGCTACAGTCCTGCCTCGGGATCTCAAATAGGGTCAACTTTTGAAGAGGGCTTCTCCGACACAGCAGGAGGGTTTCATCGACCAATTGCGTCCTGGCCGGCGAGTTATCCAAGTCAAAGTGCCGAACTGCAAGACAGAGGAGTGCCCAAAAACTTGTCACGTTGCGGCGGAATTTCCGGTTTGGGTTGCTTCGACGCTCACCAATCTCCTTCGCTCCCGATCTACATCCCTAGGATCTTGTCAACGCCGCGTGGGTCAATACCTGACAACGTGGAATTCTGTTTCGTTCGCCCTCATCGGGGGAAAGCTCCGGAAACTCCACCTCTACTAGCTTTCACAATCCCCCTTTGACGCCTCGAACGCAGAAAAGGAAAGAACATTGCGACAGCTCGGTTGATTGGGACCGAGTAACATAGCCCGCGTGAGGAATTCGAAGCAAAAAAAAAGGCCCACGCCGACCTGATTACAGAATCAAGCTGCCCCCGTATTGGGCAAACATGAGCCATGGGTTCGTCATATCCCCTATTCGTATCATTTCCATTGTTAATCCGTTATGACGATACCCTAATTCCCTGCCCTTCCCCCTCCCTCCCTTTTTGGTGCCGATTTGCAGATAAGAGCTCGTCCCATCTTCCCGATTTGCTACTTCCAATTCGCCATTCATCCTTTGTGTTTCTTTCTTCCCGTTGCAATATCTTTCCTTCCCGCTTTGCCTATTTTGAGAGTTTCAAGGCCAGCTCTGAGGACGTTATAAGGTCACCGGTCTCTTATCACATCGTTTTTGCCGTTTGGAAACTCAGACAGAAGACAACGAACGGCGACGCAAGAAGACTCCAACCTCCTCCCCTCATCAGCACCACCCGAAAAACTCAGCACACTCTACCGTCGTGGAAGCCCAGTCACTCAACTGGTTACATTACTGACACGTTCTGTTCTACCACACCACACAGCCCGAATATTCTCCTTCAGATCCAAGGGGAAGTACTACGTCGAGAGTTCATCAACCATGACCGAAGATAAGGAAAAGTCGTCCGTCGAAGGACATCGCGTCTCTACCCATGAGGAGGGCGTCAACATGCCCCCGGACCCGGATGCTCACCGGACCGATGAAGAGAAGGCAGAAATTGTATATTCGCCCTTGCAACCTCCCAGATCAGGCACTGCCATACTTCCTTAGATGATGCTAATAACCCTTTACTCTAGGACCGTAAACTTGTTCGCCGTCTCGATTTGATGCTCATCCCATGGGTAAGCGGCCCAAGCCCATAGCCTTCATGCTTTTCAACCGGCTCAGAACGTTCTAACATGCTTTCTCGTTAGCTATGCCTACTCTATCTTCTTGCCTTCTTGGATCGCACAAACATCGGCAATGCTAAGATCGCCGGTGTTCAAGATGATCTGCACTTGACCAATGGCCAATACAGCGCTTCTCTCAGCATTTTCTTCGTCTCATATGCCGTGTTTGAGCCGGTGACGAATATTATGCTGAAGAAGTACCGCCCTTCCATCTTCATTCCCATCATCATGTTAGTTTTTTTTTTTTTACTCTTGCCATTTTCTTGATTATATTCAACATACACACATGCTGACCACTAAAAATCACAGGGTTCTCTGGGGTGCTAGCATGTTAGGCATGGGTTTCTGTTTCAACTGGGATGGTCTGATGGCAGCCAGATGGTTTCTCGGCCTCACCGAAGCAGGCCTCTTCCCCGGCGTCAACTACTACCTGTCATGTTGGTACAAGCGCTCCGAGTTTGGCATCCGTGCCGCTATTTTCTTCTCTGCCGCCGCCCTCTCGGGTTCCTTCGGCGGTTTGCTCGCCGCCGCCATCGAGAACATGGACGGCATCGGCAACCGGCCCGGCTGGGCCTGGATCTTCATCATCGAGGGTTTGATTACAGTCATAATCGGCTTCATCTCCTTCTGGATGGTGCACGACTTTCCCGACGAAGCCAAGTTTCTGTCCGAAGACGACCGCGCCCGCGTTGTGCGCCGCTTAAAACTCGACCAGCAGGCCTCGGCCGAGCATGAGACCTTCCAGATGTCGTACCTCTACCAGTCCCTGCGCGACTGGAAGATGTGGTTGGGCATGGCCATCTACATGGGCTGCGACATGCCGCTGTACGCCTTCTCGCTGTTTCTTCCAGCCATCATTAAGGGTCTCGGCTGGAACACGTCGACAGTCCGATCACAACTCATGTCGGTCCCGCCCTACGCCGCCGCCGCCATTTTTACCGTGGTAATCGGCTACGTCGCCGACCGCACCCGCAAGCGCGGCCTCTGCAACATCGTCGTCTCCGCCATCGGCGTCGTCGGCTTCGCCATGTTGTTGGGGTCAAACTCCCCCGCAGTCCAGTACGTAGGCGTCTTCTTCGGCGCCCTGGGTATCTACCCCTGCATAGCCAACACCATCACCTGGATGGCCAACAACATCGAGGGCGTATACAAGCGCGGCGTGGTGCTCGGGTTTGTCATTGGATGGGGTAACTTGAGCGGTGTCATCAGCAGCAATATCTATACGAACCATAAAACCGGGCATGGCATCGTCATGGGGTTCATGGCCGTTTTCTTGTTTGGCGGGTCGATACTCATGACGGTCCTGCTCAGAAAGGAGAACGGGAAGAGGCTGCGGGGCGAGAGGGATCATCTTGTTGAGGGATTGAATGAGAAGCAGATTGAGAAGTTGGGCGATATGAGGCCTGATTTTTATTATACTACTTGAGAGTCCTGAGCTGTTTTGTCCGGGAAGGGAAAGGGATGAGTCGGTGTCTGCCTGAATGGCATGTGCTAGGTGTGGTAGGGAAGAGCTGGGTGGGTGGGTGTCTTGGTTTTTGGATAGTGCTGTGAATTAGGGCACTTTTCTTTTTTACTTTGGATAGGCACTCAGATCTGGTCAGGTTCAAGGTTGGGTGAAGTGTACTGACTGGTATGGGAGGACCAAAGGTTTGCTCAGCAGGTGGGTACGTGATGGCAAGGAAAGAAAGGGGAGAAGGTCGAAGATGTTACGATGGATGGGAAATCATGAAATCGGTACGGTTAGAGCCGCTTCCGCAAGGGTCGATACATGTATGGACTGGTTACGAGGGGGTAGGCGGCAGGATTATTTCTCTTCCAAGTTCTTGTATTTCTCCAATAGGTTTGGTTGGTTGGTTATAGCAATTATTTTGGTGTATTTAGACCGGCACGCTCGAAGTTGGATCATCATTCTCAGGTATCATCATGTATTGTCCAAAATCCGAGGCGGTTAGGTTTTGGTATGGTTGCGATCAAGGAGTGGAGGCGGTGGGGGTTAAGGGTTGGGTACCATGTAAAGTAGGGTTGTAGTTTCCTATCAGGTCGGATGGGCTGCATTTTACGGTTGCATTTTCATATCTTCTTTCGTCTTTGTAGCATTCTACCGTCGCAATCGGAACCTAGTTATTCGGATACCTACGACGATGCGGAGAGCCTGACATCATGATTTGGGACAGTAGGAGTTTGCTGCACTTCCTTCATCTTTGTAAGAGGCAAGGGATTTACTTTGCGAGCACCGGTAACGAAGTATGACAGGTTCTGAATTTGTCGTTTGTTAGACTGATCAATAAACAGGCATCCAGGCCTATAAGCTCTAGACACTTCCAATAATATCTTCATATACTACCGTCACTCGGTGGACGTCTTCGTTTTACTGATCTACCAGGCCCTCCCCAGCCCGTGATATGAGGCGATATGAACTGTCATCTGTCAAGCCCTCTATCCGCGACTTGCATGAGAAACGGCATGGCAGTGGAGGCAAGGTCAAGCTTGCCATGCTTTTGGTGATCGTGTTTAGGTCAGGTAATGTTACGCACACATGAACTGGTAACATTGAACCATTCTTCTATCAAAACATTCTGGGTCCGGGGTTCAAGGTGGGCAACAGATCCATGGCAGATTCATGGCAGATAGGTGTTCGTGGCCTGGAACGAGGGGTGAATGGTCTGGGCATCCACTTGAACACTTATCGACCGTTGAAAATTTGGTCTGTCTGTCGGTCATCGCCGGAGCAAGGCACTGCCTGCCACTCACTACGTCTGCTTCTTTCACATCCCGACACAAAGACGCGAGGGATGATAGTGTTGGATAGGTGGAGGTCGGAATGTTCTCGCTCAACGATTCCATTATTGGCCGCTGCAGTGCACTCACCCATTTCCCGTCCAGCCCGAAGAAACGAATGAACTGGTTTCCCGTTTTGTCATACACGGGGTGGACGGGCAACTCCCAAAACCGAGCTATTGGAATTGGGATAGCTGGGAAGAGCACCGGGACCGAACCGGAGGAGAGAAATCGACGGATGGACGGAACGGATGACACGTACGGGCAGGCCAGGGGGAAGGGGATTGTTTGCGAAGATGGAGCTGGAGTGTTGGGCAGACTGAAGCAAGAGGAAGGACGGATGGAATGAACGGGGATAACATTGAGGGGATGGAAGGAACGGCACGGAAAAGAAGTGCGACGTTCTTTTGTGGTACAGTATGGAAATCTGAGAGGAGTGAAGTTTGTCAGTCCGTCCCATGTTTCCAAACCGTTATGGTTGATCCTGGAACTTGGGAGAAGAGGGAAGGTCTTTGTGTTCCGTCCGCAACCGCACAACGCACGGAGCGAGTGATTTCTTTTGTTGCTTGTGCAACATTCTGGAGGCCTGAACTTGCTTCAATGTGCTTCAAATTCTTTGAGAGATCGGGAGTACAAAACCCTGATGATGTTGAATGGAAGGTTGAGACTTGTGCTTACGAGATTACCTGGTTGCCATCCAGGTTTAAGGGTGTTATTCCCTGGCTATCACAGTGCATTAGCGCTGGTACAAAGAATGGTCATGTTCTCTCCCGATTTTGAGGTTATTCTGTAGAAAAGTGATAGCATGCTGATATCTGTTAGTAACTTTGGAGACGGAAGTTGCGCTACTGACTGTGGAAAGAAAGAAGTAAGTACCTTGATAGGTCGTAGGACTGATCAACCCCATCATTAGGGCGCATTCTGCATTTCGTACAGTGGCCTTGTCGGATATCTCGGCTTCCAGGCCTTGAAGTTGGGGCACTAGGCATTGGCTGTGCTTGGTTGCCTTTCCGGTCGACGAACCACGTCTTGCAATCCCTCCTTATCAAGAAAGAAGGGAGGGGATCGACTTGAGGCTGCCTTCCGGACGATACATCATATCGTGGTGCTGGTGGTATCTTGGCATGTGTCGCCCGACATTGCTCTGTGTAACTCGGGTGCATCGTTGTGTTAGGGCTCGCAAGCATTGGTGTGACAAATGAGGTGATGTTCGGATTGATGAATCGCGATTCGTGGCCGGTTGTGAGAAGGTTGTCGCTATTGCTGTGCCTTTGGTGGAAATGACGGGCTTCTGTGCTTGGTACGTCTTGGTTGGCCGGAAACATTCCTTCCTCTGGCACTTTCCTCATGTTTTCAACGTTCAATATTCTCCATTGGAAGGATCAACCGTATCTAATGGGAGAAGCTTCGGATGTTTGATACGACCTTTACCTGATTTCTGCCCACGTTTTGGTCACAGCCTGCATGATAGACCTGCATGCACCTGCCTCACACCCCCGTTTTCTCTCCAGGGGGTTTTGATGGGACATTAGGATCTGAAGGGGAATGAGAAGTCAGAAATAACTATAAGAGCTTGCAATTTTATGCAGGCATAGCCGCAACAGTTCAGCAGTAATTGGGTTCGGTTATGATATGAACATCATAGCTGTATCTGGAGCGCCTCAGCCGCTGCAGGCTGTCCGTTTCGACTTTTTCACCGATCGATTTGACGCTTGGCGGCTTGCAGCCATGCACAACCGGGCGGCATTCGCCGACTGGAAGAGGCTCAACGCCAGCTCACTCCTCTCCTCTTGTGTCTCTCACCTGCTCTTCGGTCTTCCACACATACTCCACTCCTGTGTCTCTCTTCTCTGTTCGGTTCCTTCCTTGCACTTGTTCCATTATCGCGCTTGCCATTTGTTCATTGTGCCTGGTGCCTGGTGCCTTGCAGCGGAGCCGCAGTCGCGCCCGTATCCCCATTTGCCAATTCTCTGCATGAGACTTGCTCTGAGTGGAAGGAACGAGACGGAGTGAAGATCCGTGAAATTAAATGCAGTGGTGTGATCTCGGAGAAAAGTATCATGTCCCATCCCTTGCTGCCGATGGCGATAGATGACGGCAGTTGGGCAAAGTTTGGAAGGTGAGAGTTGCTACCACCCGTACCAATCTTCTTTCAACGACATGCATTTCTTCCTGGCTTCGGCCCGCTCCTGGTCCTTACCGTCCTCGACACAGTTGATGCGGAGACCTCGTAAACAAGGATGGTATGCTACTAGAAATATTGAAACTTGATGTACGTAGAATGTTGTTGTTGTTGTTGTTGTTGGCTGTTGTTGTTGTTGTTGTTGTTGCTGTTGTAGCCATATCTTCCATTTACGAGAAGCGATGCTGATACACGCAACTGTTTTGGAGGGCTTAACTTTCCTTCATCAAGCATGCAACTCAAATGTGCAGCTGCGCTACTCAGGCCAGGACAAAGGTAGGAAAAAGTAGGTAAG